CATCAGAGACTGATGTAGACTGCGGAGGTTCATGTGCACCAAGACGAAAGTGCGCAGTCGGACAGCACTGCGCCACAGGAAAAGACTGTACAACTAACATCTGCTCCGTCATCGATATATGTGTTGGTAGGTTTCATTTTGTGTCTAGTTATAGAATATTCGTTTTTGTTTTATAGAAACTACCTTTGTTGATGATTTACTAACTGACGATGAGAAGGATGTCAACTATGGAAGTCCATTTATAACAATCCGTACGTGTGAAAACGGGCAACACTGCAACGTACGAGCGTACTATAGGAGTGGAATGTACTCTATCGCTAGTTAATGTTTTTTGTAAGTATCCTATCGTTTGAAAAAAGCTAGCATTTAATAGACCGTGATTCTCTTTATAAATTCTATTTGATATACGGATGAAATAGATGACTCATTCTCAGAAGAAGTAACCATAGATTTCAAAATCTGGCCGTTTCAGAAGTGGTTTGACAACTCGAAGTTGATTGTAGTTGAAAGCAAACATTTCGATCCATGCTAATTTAAGAAAAAGAATTTTTACAGTAGAAGTTATTATGTCAACAAGAATTTGAGAACAAATCGAAGAACTATAACATTCTTTAGGCTAAGGAGAGAATTCGAAATCTAGAGAAAGGCATGAAACTATCAACTATCTTGACAGAAAAATTATCTATGTAAATGTTCGGCAAGTTTTAATTCTAAGTAAATTTTTATTGATACATTTTGAACTAGTAACAAATTCGAGACACCCGTGTACTGTAAACTTTAAATAATTTCTACTTTCTAGAAAAGCAAGTTCGAAAAAGCTCAACCGTTTCTAAATTATTAATCGCCGAAAAATGTTATAATTTACAGAAAATGCTTCATTTTCCGTAAAGTAAAATTTCAATCGAATTTTCTGAAAATTATTTTCGAAACGAATTGAAAACCATTTCATACATAAGAGCAATACCCTAGCAGCGGTCATGCTACTTTTGTATGAAATCATAGTCTTCTTTGTATACATGTATGACAAAAATCTTCTCGAAATAATTATGCTTGTTCAGGTCGAATGCCCATGATTATAAACAATCATTTACGGAGATAAACAGCAATAAACGGAGGTTCCGCACAGACTCCGTATACAACGTTCATAGACGATGAAAAACGATCAGATACGGATTCTATAAATGAAGATCATAAATAAATACGGAGTAGCAAAAACAAATAGTCCACTATTCGGTATACGGAGTCATACGACAATGGTATACGATCCTATATGATCGTTGTATATTTATCATTTGGAATATCATTTTCTAAAATATGTATGTAGACATAGATCTAGTTTTCTTCATTTCATTCATTATTTTATTTTATTTTATCTTTTAGGAATTAAAATTAAAAATATCTTTTTAAATATTTCAATTTTTTTTCTTCTATTTCATTTTTAAATAGTGTGATAAAGGAATCGATCGTTAAAAATTTAATGTCCTCATGCCATTTGTATTATACAAACAACAACTTCAATGACGCTTTCATAAGAAAAAGAAAGTAGACGACATCTGCGTTTGAATATTCGATGAGTTTTTCTGATATTATTCGATAGTAAGTTGCACTTCCGTCTACGTAAAAATTTTAATATATATTTTTGTTCTCATACTCTGTCATTTTCGTTCATTTCAAGAACTTTTTAATGTATGCTTCATTTATTGTTGTTACTACATTGTTTTTTCATTTAGTTGATGTAGCTTCTATCATATCCACTCATACTTTTTAATGTATTTTTTATGTGAAATTTTCATGTATGTGTTTCAGAAAATTTATTTACATGTTAAACGTTAAAAGTGTATGAATAAAAGGATAGAACTCGGTTATAAAGAAAGCGATTTCAGAAATATTGTTTCCATGAACAAGGAAACTAATCAAGATTAGTATAATATAAATACTTGTCTGAAATGAGCAATGAAAAACGATCGTATACGATAAAATATGGTTAAAATGCGATCGTTTACGATCGTTAACATTGCGTGAATGATCGTAGACGAACTCTGTTAATAATCACTAGAGTTGTCTTTGACGTTTTTAAAGTATTGTATATCAAGTGATACTCAACTTTTTTCTGACGCATATATTCGCTTTTGACCTATAAGCAGAATTAAGGCGATAAGTGGAATTGGTATAGAGGCGAAAGAACAATTTATTGTCAAGGAGAATATTGCTAACAGATTTTCCTACTTTCAGAATGCGAAATCGAGTTTGACATTTCAGAAATGTTCATATGAACACAATTGTAATTTTCTAATTAGAAAATCGAAACTTGAATTTTTTGAACTTTCGTGAATATCATATTTTAAAGAAAATAGAATTCTATCGTTGAATTCGTATTTACATTCCTGAGACATCCTTTTCTGTTTTCTATAGCTTATTGTGCATTTTACAGCATGCGCATACAGTTGAGTCCACTTATAAGAGCTCCGGATAAAGGAGCGGTCCGCCTGTAAGAGCCGTTTTCCAATTTCCCATTTTTTTCTCCTATGTTTTATGTACTGACAAACTCCGCTTATAAGAGCCTCGGATAAAGGAGCGGTTCGCTTATAAGAGCTTTGTTTTGGCGCTTTTTTTCGATTTGAGTCCGCATAAAAGAGCCATATTGTATGTTCTTGTTCTTTTCTTTTTCTATTCATCTGTTGCACGTATGCTCTTTTTCGTCTTACTCACTTTTCCTAACTGACGTCTTTGTTGAGTAAAAAGAACCATTGTCTTTTTCTGTATATTATTCATTTTCTAAACAGTCGGACGAAGCTTCTCGACTTTTTCTCTAGTCCATCTATTGTCTCTCTCGTATGTATATATCCTTGCTGTTTCTTCAATAAAGTGATCAGATATTCATCCATCCAAAAGGTAATATATATTTTAGAAGAAGAAGACGAAGAAGAAGCCGGAATTGTTGATGAACCGATGCCAGGTGTCTCTCATAAAGATGCGCTGATGCATCTGTCAATGGTTCACAAGTATTTGGAAGAGAATTTTACAGACTATAATTCATATTATGATATCGAAGACATGATCGAAAAGAACGCTTTAATTAATCGTACTCAAAGTAAAATCACGGATTTCTTCAAGTAAATTTATGTATGCCTATGTCCTACTTAATAAATATTGATAGGAATCAATTTTTGCACTGTTTTAAATGTAGTTCGGATAAAGGAGCGGTCCGCATATAAGAGCCTCTTTTAGAGATCCCGACCGCGCTCTTATAAGCGGACTCGACTGTATATCAATATTGGCAGTTCTAATCTTCTGTTCACAGTCACATCACCCACTACTTCATATTCTTGCTATTCTATTTGATGAATCTCGCCCAAAACAGGCAGATTCAATCGTAAACTTTACTTTCTCAGTGTCAACCATCTTGGTCACCATACACGCAGACCATTGTCTAGTGTTATAAAAAATTTTACTTTGGCATATTCTGATAACTATTATGTTCAACAGAAGAATAGACATTCTAGTGAACGAAGAAGTCAATTGTTGTTATACTTTGAAATATCGTTGATCTTAAAAAAGCTATATATTATTTATTATTAATTTATAGTTGAGCATGAATGTTAGCCTTCGCTTCATCAATACCTCGAGTCGCGTTCACTTGGCCGACACCATTTGGCTGACAAATATTTGAAGTTCAAAAAAATGAAATTGAAAATATTGTGTCAGAAAATCTTTTTAGGGTGTGGATGTGAATGACAGTGGGTGAACAGAGGGTCCACACCCAACTATCGATGTTCTTCGGGGGATTGCTCATAATCTTTCATTATAAATATTTGTGACTCTTAATAAAAAGATTTTCTGACGCTATATTTTCAAGAAATTTCAATTTTTTTGACTTCAAATATTTGTCGGCGAAAGGGTGTCGGCCAAGTGATTCGTCGGCCAAATGATCCCGACCCCAATACCTCATACTCACATCCTACGCGTAACAGTAATAGGGCGTAATGCTCAATGTCTGATTAAAATTCTTCTGAAATCTTGATCACTGAAATTTTCTTTTCAATAGAATGAAACATATACCATTAGATAGAATTCGTTGAGTTGCATCTTGTTCACTGTATACATCGCTGGAACAAAGCATTTCTGATAAAAGTCAAATCAGTTCCCAACTTTCCTCACAAATCTACTGCTTATTTTCATTTGTATTTCGATAAGATTTATGTCAAAAGAAAAATAATTACAAGTCGATTTATTGCTTTTATCAACAAAACAAAATTAGATCAAATCTAGGCATCGTTTTTAGTATTCATAAAGTTAATATTTTCAAAAAGAAGAAGTTTTTTTTTGTAAAGTTTTATAGCATTAGCTTCAAATTCAAGTTTAATTATAAATCATTGAGTTTTATCGAATATCATAATTGAAAGATTTTCATCATCAACTTTCAAGTTCCATTTGAATTGATTATGTTAAACTATAAAGGTTTACAGAAGGTTTCTTTTTTCTCTTTTTTTACTAGATTAAGTAGTGGCATGATCAGAAAAGAGTTAATCAAGTCTCTTTTGAAAGAAGACTTCATCATTTGTAGGAGAAGAGCTGAGTCGCTTCTATCTTCCATCTAGCTATGCCACTACCTTTAAAATTGCATGCTAAAAGAACCTTTCTTTTAGCAGATCACTTTAATAAATACGCACAATTTTTTCGAAAAAAAAAGATGATATAGCACTTCTCATACTAACAACATTTTGCTTTCTCTTCTGCACTGGTTTCTACCGACATCTTTTATATTATTGAAAATCATTTTTTTGCTCATACTCAATGCAAATCTGATTTTATCATCAAAATAAAATTCATTTAAGAGAGTTTTCATCAAATCTTAGTAATCGAACAAGAGGACATAAGCTTGGCAACATGGCATACCAAAAGATGATGCTCTAGTCTTAATATCATTTTCAATCAAAATTCTTCTTCGTCTTTTTCTTTTTCCTTTTTTTCTTTTTTAGTATTCAGTCATTCCAATCTCAATGGTATGATGAATAAAAATATCTAAATAAATTCAAATGTTTTTCTTATTAATTCAAATAGGCTACAACAACAACTCAAATAAAACGACCTGGACTTGGTGGTGCAGCTAAAAAACGATCAACTGGTTCTCGACCTGAATTGACTGAAGAACAAAAAACAGAAATTCGTGAAGCATTTGATCTATTTGATGCTGATGGTTCAGGAACAATTGATGTTAAAGAACTCAAAGTAAAAATAATTGATATAAAAAAAAACAAAAAAAAACTCAATATTACTTTTAGGTTGCAATGCGTGCATTAGGTTTTGAACCTAAAAAAGAAGAAATCAAAAAAATGATATCTGATATTCAAAAAGAAAATGCTGGTAAATAAAAAAAAAAGACACATAATTTTTCTAATTGATAATTATTGTTTAATGACAAGGTACAATTGATTTTAATGATTTTCTTCAGTTGATGTCTCAAAAAATGGCAGAAAAAGATTCAAAAGAAGAAATTTTAAAAGCATTTCGGTAGATATACTTATTGAATTATATATATATATTTGTTTTCATTTAAATTTTGTTTTATTATTTTTTTTCTCTAGACTTTTTGATGATGATAATACAGGAAAAATTTCATTTAAAAATTTAAAACGAGTTGCAAAAGAATTAGGTGAAAATTTAACTGAAGAAGAATTACAAGTAAATTTATCATGAATAAATTCTTTGTTTTTTATGATAAATACTTTCTTGGTTTTTTTTTTCTTTTGTTTTTTGTAGGAAATGATTGATGAAGCAGATCGTGATGGTGATGGTGAAATAAATGAACAAGAATTTTTAAGAATCATGAAAAAAACTTCATTATATTAAATATTTACATTTATTTATTGTCTTGTGTAACAATCTCTTTCTTCTTTTTTTTTTCTATTGCTGTCAGTTATTCAAATCGTTCCATTAAACAAAAATAAAATGACCAGAGAATCAATGTATTCTTTTCCTTTTTTTTCCCTTGATGACTTATGCACACCTGCAATGTCTCTCACTATTTACTCTGTATTCATTAATGCGGAACGTTTTATGAAGAATATACAGTGACGTAAGATAACTTTCTCAGGGTTTTTTCTCACCATCGAACACATCAATCGTAATAAATGAGTATTGAGTGATACAAACAACGTTTATTAGCACCTGCTTAGTTTATTTAAAGAAATAACATAGGCTGCACAGGTAAGTTACGATAAATAGTCATTTTTCACAGCTATAAACAAACATTTTTGCCAAATTTTTCATTGTGAACTATAGAATAAAATATGGGCAGTATTTTAAGTGGATCATCATCAAAAAGATCTGAAGAAAAAAAAAAGAAATGGAAGAAAGGAAAAAAAAAAGAATTATATCAAATGGAAACATCACCTAAAGTTAATCAATATATTGTTCAAAATAATAATGAACAAAACAGTTTAGATAGAAATATGATTAAAACTTACGAAAATTGGAATAAACAAATCGATCAACAACAGATGACAAATTTTAATGGTAAAATTTAATTGTCATAGTTAATTATTATTTATTTAAAAAAAAAACAAGCAAAGAAATTTCGATTTTTATAAAAATTTATTTCTTTTCATAGACCCACCGGGTGCACCAGTCACTTATTCAACTAATTATCCAAATATTCAAAATGATCTAATGAATCAATCATGGTCATCACATCATGATGTTAACAATCAATATTATCAAATGACAACACCATCGAATATGTCATATGATCCTAATCAATATATTCACGCTCAAATGCCGAGTACATCTATTAGTCAAGTTCAACAAGTTATTCCTGAAGAACGATCATCAAAACAAGTACAATTTTCTCGTCCTACTCAACAAGGAGCATTACCTAACAATCTCTCAACTAATACTCAATCTAGGTATGATCAAAGTATTACAACTAATGATTTATCGGTTTCTATACCACGACAAGACATATCATTAAATAAACAACCTATGCAACGATCACATTTACCTACATCGAATACATCATTAACTCAAACAACTGTAGAAAAACCTATTTATGTTGGTATTGATCATAAAGCAACCTTGGCCGAACGTGGTCAAAAAACTGCTAATAAACGTCAACGCAAAGATAATGATAAAAATAACTCTGAACAAATAAATTCTTCTACAAGCAATCATAAGACACGTTCTCATACACATCATCAACATAAATATCCAGAATCAAATGATTTATCGACTTCTCAAGTCAATACACAATCAAATAAAACTGTACAACCTTTACAAGCTAAACTATCTGGTACACATCGTTCATTAACAACAACATCAACATCAACAGTTATACCAAATAAATCAATACAGAATAATGAACAATCTATATTTAATGAAAATGATGTGCAGGTATCAAAAAAAAGACGAAATCGTCAATCCCAATTACAACATTTAGAACAACAATCATATGTTGATAATGATACAAAACAATCAAGAAATAAAAGAAATCATGGACAAGAAAAACAACAATCATATGTATCTAATAATCAAAATAATTCGCCTTTAATAACAGAACCAACACGACGAAATGAAAATAAATATAATAGTGCACCAGTCATAAAAGCTCCTTTATCACCAAAACGACCGCAACAACGACAAAGATCATCAGCAATGCCTTCTACAGGAAGTACTACAACAAATGTTACTCGAACACGTGTATAAAATTTAAATTAAAGAAAATCTTTTATTATCAACATATTAAAAAAAAATGTTTTTTTAAATAGTGCAGTTTTATAATTTTTCCCATCCATCCGTAAGTGGTTTAACATATAATTGATTTTTTCTATTTTCATTGCTATCTTTATAATGAACTTGCCATTTTCGATTATCTCCTTTATTCATCATAACTAAACGATTTTGTATTTTACTATCAAAATCTTTTAATGTTTGATTTGAAGATAAAATAGGAGTTGTAAATGATGCATCCAATGGATAATGTTCATCACCAGGCATAATTAAAAGCATTGCTTCAGGAATTTTATAACAAATACCTAACATACGTTTTATTTGATATTCAGAATCATTTTTACATTTAGATAAATATTCAATTAAATTTGATAGTTTTTGAAAATTACCTAGACGAGATAATTCATATATTTGTGGTGGTAAAAAATTTATTGAATTTTTATAATATTCATTCATAGCAATATCAGGTTCTAACCACTAAAATATAAAAACTATAAATTTATTCTATTTATAATATTATATTATTAATCATACATCAGCTGAAACAGTTTCATGATCATCATGAGCAATTAAACATGAATATGTATTTGATAATGGTGCTATATAGAATATTGTATCAAAACGTACTTTTGCTATAGCAGCAGCTAAATATTGACTCCATTCAAATAATGAATCAACATCAGGTTCGATTTGTATTTCTTTACACATAACTATAAATTGTGATGCATCATGACGTATTTTATTACGCCATTCATCGATAATATTGTTTGATAGATTTGGTATTGTAGCATAACTATGTATACAAAATATGTATTTAAATCAAAATAGAAGAAAAACAAAATAGATTATCTTACTTAGAATTTGATGATGTACGTGATTTAGCAAGTAGAAGACCTGTTTCTTCAAATGTTTCTCGAATAGCACAAAGACGAAAAACAAGACCAGGATAAGGATGATCAATATCTTTATAAATATCAACATTTTTTTTAGAAAATCGATCAATATTTATCGAAGATGAAAGATATTTAGGCCAATCCAATGATAAATCGCATGAATCAAGTTGACCACCAGGAAAACTATAAAAACAAAAACACATCAAAATAACAATCAGAACAATCATTTAACTTATTGAAATTTTTGTCAAAGAGATATAAGTATTTTCTGAGTTCAAAGTCAATATTATTAATGCATAGAAATTATTCAGCTTATTCTTGAAATATTCAAAACATAATCTTCAACAAGAAAGTAAGAATACATATTTATATATTTCAATCCATTATTATTCAAAAAATTCAAATTACAAATGAAATCCATATCAATTTTCGACGTATTCACATTGTTTTCAAACTCTTTCGATTGAATAACCTTTTACACTCTGTTTAGTCATTTTTGATTCATCCATAAAAACTATCTATTTGGGGAAATAATGCAGCACATCGAAACGCTTCTCGAATATTATATGAGAGCCTTCAATTAACTATCAAGTGTGAAAAAATTAGTCACTTTATTTTTAATATATATAGATAAAATAACACTCTTCAATGTTAAAAATTTTATCGAAATTAATAACCAATCAGAAAACCTTCGATATCCAGTTTTAAAATGACTTTTTATCGATGAGATCAATAATAGAAATGTATGATTTTGAATTGAAATCAAAACCAATGATTTCATATTATAAAAAAAAAAAATCAAGACTAACGATTCCAAAACAATCCTGAAAATGACCACTTTTACAAGTGACTGATCATTTAGCGTCTCTCAAGTAGTGGCGTAACCAGAGGGTGGCCAGATGGGGCCAAGCCCCACCACCGACTTAGAGCTCGACCAGCGGAGCCCCTCCACCGTTAAAATCCTGGTTTCGCCACTACTCTCAAGATGAATTATTTCTCGAAAAATAATCATCGTAAGTATATTTCCGACATTATACCAATAAAAGAATAACATAGCTGTAAAAAAAACTGTAATAAATACCAAATTACTAATAAATTCAATTTTTATGTCGTTCAAAACAAATGATTTTGATTGTTGATGCATACCTCTTACATCTTGACAGTGAAATGATTTTGCATAAATTTAACTATACTGATATCATAATTAGCATTTATTTAAACTATTCTTGTCATTGATTCAACATTAATTCTATTGAAAGACTATCAGAATGTAAAGTTTTAAGATGTGATGTCTTGTTATTTATATCTGATAATTTTAATAGAAAAATGATTCAGTTATGATTATGAATTTCTTTTCTAATAAATTTATTTATTTTGAATTAATGATTATTATTTATATTCTTACGCTGAAACATCTGGTGCAAAACGCATTTTTGGTGAACGTTTTAATAATAATGATGAATAATCAAATAAACTTTTGCCATGAATATTATTCACTTGTTTCTGTCCAAGTAATATTAATGAAGCAGATTGTCGCCAAGGAACCATGAATTCTTTTCTTTCTTTTTTTTTTCGTGAAATCTTTTTTATGAGTTTAAAATTTATATATCATCCCAAACAAACAAAAGATCAAATACAAATTATATATATTGTATATAAAACGAAAAAAAAAAAAAAGAAAAGAAAAGAAAAAGAAGTTAAACTTGTTCCATTAATTTGTTTTGTTTTGGTTATTTTTTTTTTTTTTCTTGTTCACAAAATACAGACTAAAACATTCCAAATGCACACACACAAGCATGCAAAAGCAAAAAAACAAACAAAGATTAAAAAAAAATGAGAGAAATATTACTAAAACTAGCAGAAAAATTATTTTTGTACATAAAAAAGAAACAAACAGGCAAGTTTTTAATTTGTATTTTTATTTTATTTACGATTGCACTAATATTTAACATAATAAAAAAAAAAAAAAAAACAAATAAATTCATGTACTTTCATTCGAATCTTGTTCATTATGACCATATTTTGCTAAACGTATTGCTTTAAGACGATTACGTGCTTCATCTAATTCACGTTCTTTTGTTAATATAACTTCTTTACATTTTATTTCTTGTGCAATACCAGGTACAACACGCATAGATACTTCAAAATATTTATCTTCTTGTTGCATTTCAACAGCACGTTGAGCAGATCGTACAAGAGCATCAGTAGCACGTTTAACAGCATTACCAGCTGTTTGTAAACGTGCCATTGATTGACTCATAAAATCAGCTTTTACTTTACAAGCTACAAGTAATGCTGCTGTATTTGAACTAACTTGTTTAGCACTTGATATTAATTTTTCTTCTGTACCATAACCTTGAACAAGTCCATTAGCAGCATCACATAATACATGACATGCTGATGCAACATAACGTGCCTTAAAATAAAAATTTTGATAGAAAACAAAAAAAAAATACTATAGTGATATATTACAGCTGATATTAATCCTTGAGACCATTGACCATCTTCTTCTAAAGTTGATTTTGTTGAAAGCTAAAATAATATAAATTATTAATTTATATTGAAATAAAATATTATTTAATAAAAATTAGTCATATAGACTAGAATTTATTAAACATGCATATTGTTAGTTAAAAAATATTTTATATTAAACCAAATAGAAAGCAAAAGCATATTGATTGTAAGCATAAGAAGAATTATAAAGCAAATCAAATTCTTTTATTATTATTATTATTAAATCAAAAGCATATATATATATATATAAAGTCATGTACCTAATCGATATAAATATATATATATATATACAATCATTACTATATTTTTATCAATTAAAATTGTCCAGTAACAATATCAAGATTGCATTTTGTTGTCGTATCCTAACAAAATTTTTTATTCAAAATATTATTCAAGTTATATCAAAATAAACTGATATATAATATTTGATAAAAATTCTTAGATGAAACTTTCTAAAAATATTGACAGGTAAGAAACAAAATTAAACTTTTTCATATATATACTGATCTTATAAACTAATTTCGTATTTTTCAGAATTTAGTCTATAATATGTTCTTGCTAGAACTAAAGTATATCAGCTAGAGTTCATTCCTTTTGAGAATTTCAAACTCGATTGGTTCTAGTTATGTATATGAGTTAATTATATATATAACATCATCATTCATATTGATTAAAATATGATAAGAATGAAGTTGTCATCTATGCAAATAGCTAGAAGAAGTATTTTATATTTACATTTCATTAATTAACTTTAGATCTGAGTTCGAAACCAAAAATTTTCGATTTGATGAACTCTTCTAATATAAATAGATCTTTTCATGATTAATTTATCGTCATAAAAATTTTAAATAAATACTATAAACAGAAAAGAAAACATATAGTTTTGATAATATTTTTTTTGTCTGTTCTAAAAAAAATAATCATATGATGAAAAATCTAATTCATATTTTAAGATATATTTTTTCAAGAAAATAAGAAGAAGAAGAAGAGTATATAAATATAAGTCTTCTATTAAGCTACAGAATAATCTAAATTTGTATATCAGAAAAAAAAGAAGCCAAAAATAAGCGTATTATGATCTACGTGCAATAGAACATCTAAATAGCTATATATATATATATGACGAGACGAACAACATATACATTTAATAAATGTGAATACCTGTGCAGGCGATGTGCCTTTATTGGTAGTAGATACTGAGAAAACATTTTTAGGCAAAAATGGATTTGTGCGTTTCTAAAATATTTGTCATTGACTAATTTTATTTATTTATATTTTATTTATTTTATTCTAATCATCACAACTCATTTAATTCATTATCAAATAAGCTCTATTACTAATAAGATATTGTGAATTGAATCACAATATTCTACTATAAATTTTATTTAATTTACTTTTCCTTGTGAAGCAAGTTCTTTTTGTGCTGATGTTGCTGCATTAATTAATGCACCAGCTGCATTCATTATTGATTTAGCTGCTTCAAGAATTTGTTCATCAAAATTAAGATTTTCATTTATTTCCTATAGATATAAACAAAATAAGATATATATATAAATAATTTAAAATTTCATTAGAAAAACATAAACATAAATAAACCAATCGACGAAATTTATCAGCATGATCTGAAACTTACTGTATGTCATTTACATATTTTTATATATGTTTATAATAAATATAGTTAATATAAAAATCTTTAAGAAACAAATTAATAGTTCGTGTGATCAAGGTTTGCAATATTGAATAAATATGAAACTCAAAAATTAATTAATTTTTTTCATTTATTTTCATATTGCAAACCTTGATCACACGAACTATTTATTTATTTCAATAAAGCTTGAAAATAATCTATAAATTAATATATACATATATATATATATATGTAATGTTTACTGACATACACTAAGTTTCATATCAGACTGACTAAATCATAATTAAAATAAACCTATGATGTGAAAAAAAAGAAAAATCAATATAAGGTAAATTGTGCTGATATGAGCAATACTCGGTCGAATCATGCATCAAACAACCAAATATCAAACATATCATGACAACAGGCCTTTTTTTTTAAATCTGTATATATAACATGCACTAAAAAAAATATGAAAAGAAAATTTTTTTTTATTTATTTACTTTAGGTTTTCGACGTGGTTTAAGAATTGATAATTTTTTTGCTGCTGATTCAATTGATTGTGCAGCATTAAATAATTCATTTTCAGCTATATATGTTGGATCATCTGGATCAATTAAATCAGCACCTATTATATTTAAGAAAAAGAAATATTGATGAAAAAAAAAAAATTCAAAGTTTTTTTTTTTATTTACCTTTAAGTTGTTTAGCACATTGAACAAGTTCTTGTGTTGATTGTGCAATCATTCGTGAATAATTAAGTAATTTTTGTTTTGTTTCATTTGATGATTTTTGTATTAATATATGTATTGTTTCTAATAATTCTTTATAATATTTAATACATAATTTTCCACTATCTAATGTACGTTGTTGTAATATTTTATCATCATTTATATATGCACTTGCTTTACATATAAATAGAAAATCTGATACAGTTTTACGACCTAAATTAGCTGCAGCTATTATATCATCTTGTCGACATGATTGACCTGCTGCAACTGCTTTCGCTGTTGCTATGGTAATCTATAAAAATCAAAAAAAAAAAAAAACATAATGAAAGATTGTTTTCGTTTTTCTTTATTCTTCTACTTGTTTTGTAACACGAATTAATTCTTCAGGTGTTGTTTGATTTGTTGGTATTTGTCCATTATTAAACATTCGAAGTTCTTGTGCAATTGATTCAATAGTTGCTTCAAGTGCATTTGTACCACGTTGTGCTTCATCTTCAACTGATTTAACTGTACGTAATAATGATGTTACATTTGTAACCATAATTTTAGCACTTTCTTTTAATTTTTGCATTTCTGGATCATCAATATTTTTACCACTAGCAGATTTAGTAACATTTATTAAATTATTTAATGCTAAAGCAACATCTTTAACACTATTGATAAGCATAACTTGAGCTTCACCATCATCAGCACCTAATGATGCTGCACCTAATTTAACAACTTCAGCAAGCTAAAATAGAAATGAATTTTGATAAGATTTTTATTATATGTTTTTTATTATCTATAAAACAATATAAAATTGATTGGTAACTTCAATATCCAATAAATAAAACCAAACTTTTGTTCTGTTCTTCATCCATGTTTTATTAAAAAGGTTTTTTTTTTATAAATATCCGTGGTATAATCAGCAAAAAAAAAAGTTGTGACAATGGATTAGCTCACCTGATTGCTTCTGGAGATTATCTGATAATGTTTCTTGGAAAGGCTAAAGCTGCTTTCTTTTTAAGCGGAACTCAATCATTTGTAAGGTGTTGAACTACGCCACTTTAGACGACGTTTCTTAGTACTATTTCATTAATCATCTATTATCCCGGTATTAGCATCAAGTATTCGTTTAGTAGATACTCCATAGTGAATATGTGAAAACATGAAAGTGAGTGTTTCTCACTATATGAAAAAGTGATCCATTTCCTAGCATTATAATAACACAAGATAGAACGTCTATTAAATGAATATTTCAATCTCATTTATATATTAAATTTGTAGTCAAACAATAAAAATTAATTCAAATTGATAGTTTATCATTCTTATTAATAATTCATTTTTCTCTATTTATTTATACAAAAATATTTCTATTTAATTTTAATATTCATATATACCTTCGTTATTGTTCGTACAGCTGCTTGAGCTGCTGATGCTAATTGTTCTTGTGATGATGCTGCACCTGCTACTAATGTTTTTGTATCTTCAACTAATGCTTTAGCTGTTTTTAAAATAGCTTCACGATGATCAGCAAATGTTTCATCATCATGTTCAGAATTTAATGTACCAGCAGTAGCAAATAATATTGTTGTATCCTATTTTATTAAATATTATATATAAATAATTATTATATAAATTCTTACTAGATCAGCAATAATTCCACTAACTGTACTTGCAGCATTAATACAAGCTTGTGTACCACGTGCACTAGCTTGTAAAGCAGCTAAAACATATGAAATCTAAAGAGAATAAAAAAAAGAAAAATTAAACATAAATTATTTAAATTTAAAAAAAAAAACTGAAATAAATTACTTTTTCAATAACTTTTTGACATAAATTTTCAACATGATATTTTAAATTTTGATCATGAATATTTTGTTGATATAAACCTAATTTTTCAATTAATTCAATACATATTAAACCTAAATCTGTTACAACACTTTTAATACGTGTTGCTAAATCATTTGTTATTGCTGTACCAATAGCACCATATGTTGCATTAATTAATTCATTATATTCACGTGTTAATTGATTAACTAAATGACGAATATTATCTGTATGATTTGTTTGAGTTAATATTTCTTGTGTTGTTCGTGCCATTTGTCGTAAAATTTCAACCATACATGTTTGATAATCAACAAAATAACCTTGATTTGTTAACATTGTTGTATCTAATGTTGATATTAATTTACGTATATTTTCACTTAAACCACTCATTATACCAATTGATGATGATTGATCTTCAAGTGTATGAACTAATTTATGTATTGATTTTGTTAATAATTCACTATTATCATCAACTATTTTATGCCATTGTATATTTTTTATATTTCCACTTGATTCTTTTGTACCCATAATTAATTGTAAACTTGTTTCAACAATTGTTTTAACTTGTTCTAAAATAAGACATTTTTCTCTTGTATGTGTCATACATGATACATAATCAATTGTATGTTGTACAAATGGTTCAATATAAGTTACAAATTGTGTTACATAAGAACCAATACGTTCAGCTTCACGTTTAGATGATTGACGAATATCAAGAATTAATTCTGTTATAAAATGAGAACTAGATGATATTTGTTCTTGATGAAACTAAAAAAAAAATAGAATGATTGTCTTTTTTTTAAAGAGATATATTTTAAAGATATTCGAAAATGTTATAATCGATTAATACTTAAAAAAAAAATACATAACTTTTATATATTTATACAGAGACGCAACCAAGAAATTTTTCCGAGAGGGGACCGTCATAGAGAAAAAGTGATTTTTTGCTTGTGAAAACGCATAAGTCTGTACCTTCCTCCAGTGATTTAAATCTTTCAGGGGGAGGGGGGATTTGATCCCCCCAATCTTCCCTCTGGTTTCGTCACTGTATTTATATGTCAATTTTATTAATTTACTATTGAATTCAACATTCAGAGAATATTTTTTTCTTTCTTCTAAAATTATTTGTTAACGAGGAAAGTGTTCGAGATACTCTCTTCTCAATTCAACGTTTGTTTTTGGTTGTAGACACTACATAATATTCGAGTAAAAAATCTTAAAAGAATTTGAAATTTTATCAAAATTTGCCGGAGATAGATTTTCGCAAAAAAATCATGTTTTAGAATTTAATCTTAGAACTACCTTCATTTGAAGGTTTCACATATAATAAACTCTAGAAAGAGATTCCGCATCTCTTAGCTATGAACTTAGATCTTCAAATGAAGGTGGTTTGAAGACAAAATTTAAAACTATGATATTTTCAACAATCTACACTCTTAATTGAAAATTTAATAACTCTATTAAGTTTCAATAGAAATTCAAAGTCTTTGAAGACTTTCTTCGTAAGTAATAATAATCAAACGATATCGAAGAAGTAAGACTGAGTTTGTTCAGTGTCTTTTCTTTTCTACAAACAAGCATAGATTTTTTTAATATAATCTAATTTCATATAATAAATGATATGATAATTAAATATGTCCCCGTTCTAAATCTTATAGAAAATAAATAACATATCTATGACGTATGATGACTTCCTTTTTTCTTTTTCCTTTTCTTATCTCTTTTCTTTCTTATCTATTTTACTTGAACTGAGTTATTTCCAACTTGAAAAGAAAGTAGATCAGATCATCTTTTTCTCCAAGTATATCTTACTACGTAGATGGAAATCAACAAGAGAATTGACTACCTTTCTCTTCGCCTCTCTTACTCATTCTCCTAGTATAAATGTTCGCAGTTATTTACTTTCGAAAACAAAAAGTTCTTTTATATTTTTAAATTCAATGATTATACCTGAAGAGATTTATCAGTTTTACGTAATGATTCAACATTTGTAATAGCTTTATCAACTTCTTGAAATAATGTTCGAAGATCTTGAATAGCTCGTTCACATTCACGTTGTCCAGGTGCCATTTCTCTATTTTAATAGAAAAATCAATTAAAATTTTATTTGTAGAAAAAAAAAACAAAAAATTATCTCAACATACTTAACTGATGTTGCTAAACGTTTAATTGATTCTGATACACTCTTTGTATGTGTAGCAAGTTGTTGCCATTGTGCTGGTTCTTTTGAATTAGCTATTAAATTTTTTGAACATTCAACAATACGACATGCTCCATCAACTACATTTCGAGAAGCTGATAAAATAGGTTCTTGTAATTGACGTCCCTATAAAATATTAAAACAAATAATAAATTAATTAAATATATATATAGAATAAAATAAAAATACAGTAACACTAATTGATGCTGGAATAGGTGCAAACTCTTTTGACATAGCATATGTATAAAGTTCATCAATAGATTGAAGTAATGGACGACTTGTTTCAATACATTGACGATGATTTTCTGTTGTATATGAACTATCTAATATCTATAAAAATACATATATATGAGATGAAGACTTTTTGTTTTTTTAAATACTTGATAATAGAAAAAAAAAAACTAACTTTTATTGTTCGAACAAGTTCAGCTGTACCATTGGCAACATCTTTAGCTGATTCTATAAAACGTCGTCGAGCTATTGGATTTGTTGTATTTGATGATGCATCACGAGCTGCATTACATAAAACTGATGTATTTTTTGCAATTTTTGTTGCTAATGGTAAAATCTATATTCAAAGGAAAAAAAGAACCAGTTAATCGATGAATTATTATGACTCATAATTATTTCGACATTATATCAAATGAAATAAATCTATATTATTCATCTTAAAAAGAAAAAAAATAAATAAATATTTACTTCTTTTCGATCAATATTTGAATTTGATAAATCTGCACATGCATGTCGAATAATTGTAATTGAACGAGTAAATAATGGTTGATCAACAACAGCTGATGTTCCTTTTGTTGATGTTGCTTCAGAAATTCCAATAAGATAACTTGCCTATAAAAAAATAATATTTAAAATCATACAAAAAACAAAACAAAACAAAGAAATCTACTTGTGCTGATGATTCTGCTAAAGAACAAACAGCTTTTGATGCATCTTGTACAGCTTGTGTAAATAATTGATGATTTGTATTTTTTGATGCACTTGCAATATGTGTCATAGCTTCTCCTAATCGTTTTGAATTATCAATAACATGATCTAATGCTTCATAATATGTATAATTATTACATGGTTGTAAAACAGATTGTTGTAAAAATGTTTTTGATGTTTCCATTTCACGTATAGCATTATCACATTCAACACGATCCATTGATGTTTCAGATGTTGTTTTAGATATTAAACAAACAGTTATAACATCATTTATATTATCTGTAACAATTCTTGCTGCATTAGATAATTGTTGATTTATTTCATTTGTTATTGTTGGTTCAATTGAAATAATTTTAGCTTTTTCTAATAATTGATTTGATGATGTATGAACATTTTTTAATGATGTTATTAAACGTATACGTTTATCATCATCTTGTTGATGATTAATTAATTCAATACCATTATTAATAAAATCTCCAAATGAATTTGTAAAACGTTTTGATGTTTTATTTAAATCTTGTATTGTACCATTACGTGTACTAATAATTAAATCATTTGTTGCTTGATTAAGATTAATTGCAGAATTTGTTATTTCATTTTGTTTTAATTCATAATTAATTGTCGTTGTATATTTATTTTTATCAAATGGACCAGTTAATATATAAGTATATTCTGATATTTGTTTAATAGCATCATCAAAATAACGTTGTGATGGCATACTTGATATACATGCATTTAATGCTGATGATACTTCACATGCTAATTCAGCAAGTTTATTTTGTATTTCAATATCATTTGGTGTATTTATAGCTTTTTTAGCTTCACGTACAAGACGTGTTGAACGTTCAAGAACTTCATGTGAACGTTCAATTATTGTTTCTTGTATTTGATGATCATTTGATGTAGCTGCTATACCACGTGTTGAATTTGTTAATTTACGAAGTATTTGAAGAATTTCACGTGTACATGTTTCAACTGTTTTTTCATCACTCTAAATTAAGAAAAAAAAAAACAAAAGATAAAAAGAAATCAATATAAAATAAGAATATATACTTGAGTGACAGCACTAAGAAGTTGAGATATAATTGTATTAACTTGTTTACAAACTGAACATAATTGAGCAGATGATGTATCAACCTAATTGAAAACAAAAATTAAGTATTTGTTAGATATATAATTATAAACTTTTCATGATAAAAATAATGTATGAAATATAAAAGATTTCGTTCTCGAATTTAATAAAATAGAACTTACTGTTTCATCAGATTTAGCCTTTAAATGTCCTTCTTTTGCTTGTCGTTTTATTTCTTCTAATTCTCTATCAAGCATTTCAATTGATTCAACAATTGATTCAATATCAAGTGGCATTGAACCACATAATTCTTGAGCCTAAAAATAATATATTTCTTTCTTTAATAAAGATTTCTATTTTCTTCATATTCTTACACGTGTAAGACAAGCACGAAGATCAATTAATGCTTGTGTTAATTGTTTTGAACTATTATTTAAATGAAGTGCTTGTGATTGATCTTGAACAGTTGGTACAGATGCTTTTGCTAAACTAGCTAAACGTGTAGCTGGACCAAGAAAATCTTCACATGCATATAATAAATTTGATTGAGATGAAAATGAATCAGGTTTAACCATACAACCACGTATACCTTGAACTACTTTTGGTATAAGATCAGCAACAATTTTACATTGTTCAACAAGTTGTTGATGTGATTGTTGATTTTTATTTGTCATTGCTGCACCTGATGTTGCAGCAATACATTGTGTTGCACATGATGCACAATGTTTTGCGCATTGTTCAACACGTTTAAGTACTTTTCGTTTTATACTATTACTGGTTGCAATATTTGTAGCTGATCTTTAAAAATAAAATTAAGAAACAAAAAAAATATATATATATTGTCTTAATTAAAATATATTTTATATACAATGGCTACCAAACACTATTCGATAAGTGTTATTTCTACTGTTTTATACACAAAAAAAAAAGAATCCAAATATCGATTTAAACAAAAAAATATATAAAGAACAAGGGTGTGAGTTAGTGAAAAGAAGATCTCTATTCACTCTCTATATGAGGCAGTGCCTGAAACAATTCGATCTCGAATACTGGCAGCCGATATAAGATTTTTTAGAAGAGTAGCAGGTTTTACACTTCGTGATAAGATTCGCGGTTCGATTATGTAGAGATTTCTTCAAATTGAACCAATACTATCTTACATCGAGAGGTCATAACTGCATCAGGAGGGTGTAGGGATCTGTAAAAACACTTTTTTTGGTCTGGGCTCTAGTTAAAGCTTCGTATAGTTTATGTTTCAACTTTCTTCCAAAAACAATTTTGAATATAGAGAAGTACGGCAAATAACATTAAAAAATTCATAGTAGAAATAGGAAAACAACTCTGAAAAAAAAGTGTAATCAAAAGAATGGTCAAATTTCTATTGAACTAAATTTATGTGTATTCTACTGATTCATTTATTTAAAAAATCCATACATGTTATTGAAAAATCTCAATTCTCAAAATTAGAATCGAGATCAGTGAAAGACTTCTATTCAAGCCGTAGATAAAATGGCCGATTTCCGAATTCTTGGGCATAATACGACAATAAGCATGAAAATATATAATCTAGTTCTAGATAAAACATATGCCAGGACTAGCTTGAAAAACTATAAGTCCTATTTTGGTTCTGATGAGACCAAGATCGAGACTGGGATCACTTTGCAGATTCATAGTAGGCTCATCTTTTGATAATGTCACACGAAAGACATGCTTACTAAGGTTTATAGGCTACATTTGGAGGGAAAAGACCAGTGGATCCTTTACAAATGAATTGGTACAGTTACATCACGTGTCAATATAAGGAGCGATAGGCACTTCCATGGACCGATCTGATTCTGGCGGCGGAGCATCTCAATCAGTGAAAGGGTTTGACAAGTAAGCTCAAACTTCCGATCTAAAAGGAAAACGAAAAATAAAAAAGTAAATGAGTATATCTTAATTAAAAAAAAATTGTATACAACTTGGAAGGATCTTATTTTACAGAGAATGTTTTGCTCTATTCTTTCGTCCTATCGTAAAAAATTTATATTTGCACGACCTAGATTCAGAAAAACTGACAGTTTGATTTTTTGAACAACTCCTATTCGAGAATCTAATAATCATATCTATTTATATATTGTTATTATATACATATATATATAGTTTTTTTTTCTGCTTACCGAAGTTCTTCAGCAGCTTTCTTTAATTGATATTGAAGTTGTGTATCATTTGGTTTTGTTGCACAACCTTTAGCTGATTCGACCATTTTAGCTGTTGCATCAGCAAGCATTTTAGCAGCTGATAATAATTTTTTTTGTTGATTTGTATCATCACTAGCTAATTCAGCTTGTTGTCGTAATGATGAAACAAGTTGTGCTGTTGCTTGTGCTAAAATTTTCGCTTGTTTAACCATTTCAACAGCATCACCAACAGATGAAAATAATCGTTCACTTGTTGTTAAAATTTGTTCTATTGATTGATCATGATTTTTAACAATATCAAACATTTCTTCATCTTGTTCTTCATCTTCTTCTTCAATTTCATCATTAGCAATCATTCGACGTGTTATTGTTGTTGTTGTTGTTGTTTTACTTGTTTGTTTATCTGTTTCAAAATGTTTTGTACCAATTATACTTGAAGGAAATATACTATCTACATTAGCTGCTGTACTATCTGTTACTAATTTAATATGAAGTAAAAATTCATTAAGACTTTTACGAACTATTGTTGCAGCTTCAGTTAATTTTGAATATAATTCATCATTTATTTGTGGAGGTGTACAAGATTGTAGAACACCTTCAATTGAACGTGTTACACTACGAGCAGATTCTATTAATTGTTCTTGACATAAAGGACTAGATATAGTTGCAGCAACAACCTAAAATATAATATTTCCAAGTTAAAAAAAAAATGCAAAATTTGTTTTATTTCTTTTAAATATAGAAAAAAAAATAAATAAAACAAAAATAAATTTACTTTAGTACAAGCAACTAATTGTGATGTAGCTAAAGCACATTGTGTAGCTGTTGAAATAATATTATTAATAATATTTTGATCTTGTACATTTGTTGCAATATCTTTTGCTTTAAGTACATATAATGCTGTTGTATTTGCAACAGATTTTGCTAATGCTAATAATTTTTCTTGATATTCAATTGAAGAATCAAAATAATTCATTGTTATTTCATTCGATAAATGTCGTACAAGTTCTTGACTTATTTCTCCTAAACGACTAGCTGTTATAAGAATATTTTGTCTTATTGATGGATCTGAATTATTATCTGATAATGCTTCAATATGTGTTAATAAATCATTAAATATTGAACATAAACGATTTGTTTGTTCCATTAAATTTGTTTTATCATTTATTAAATTTGTATAAATATCCATTTCTTTACAAAATTCACTTAAATTATTTGTTATTGTTGATATAGCTGCACCAAGTGAATGATTATAATCAGAATTTCGACGATTAAACTGTTGATTATTATTATTATTATTGAAATCTGATGTCAATATAACAATTTGTGCTGTTGAAGCATTTATTGCTGATAATACACTTGTTAATAATTGATGACTTACATCAAGACGATTTTCTATTGAATATTCTTGTTGATTATCCTTAATAATAAAAAACAAAAGAAAAATATAAATAAAATTTTATTTTAGTTTAAAATTTAAAAAAAAACAAACAATTAAAGATGATAATGGAGGTTGAACATATTCCATTTGTAAATCACGTGCTAATTGAGATTGAGCAGAATTAACAGTATTACGAGCATTTTCAATTGATGAATATAATACAGTACCACCTGTACCACCTTGTAAAATAGATGATAATGGTGGTTGTTCCTTTATTAAATTACAAGAAAAAGAAAAAAATAAATATTAAAAAAAAAAAACTTCTTATGGATTTTTCTATTACATGTATTTGTGAAGTAAAATAATCTTCTTGTTCATGATCAGCATAAAATGGATATGCTTGAACAGGATAATATTCTACACCATAATGTTGATATTGAGGATGAATTGGAACATCTTAAAAATAAGAAATAGTTTATTAAATAAGATAACAACATTTTTTTTTTGTTTTTTGGTAAAAAAATATATATAGTATTTCTTCTGTGGTAAAATACCCACATTTTTCTGGGTAATTTTCATTCTTATCTTGAAGAATTAGATAAAACTATAAATAATGTTAATTTTAGAAAGGAAGTAACTAAATATGTGAAACAATGATTTTAATTATTAAAAATAATTTTTCAAGAAATTTGAAACTATCGTTTGAGAGTAGACTGTCATTCTTGAGATACATATGCCATGTTTCTATAAACAACACTGATGTTCAAATAATTGAATCAATGAAAATGATTAAAGACTCATGAGTTAATCACATTGTAAATAGAGAAAAGACTAAGCTTTCTTTAAGAAATATCTGAGTTTCCTTAGAAATTTTGAAAATACTACGATTGTTGACTTAGAATTGATGAGAAAAAAAAACCCAGAACGAAAAAAACATCGAATAGGAAAGGTAGTTTGCAAAAAGATTAGTAATAAGAGGTCGCTCAAATAGACTGGTTGAAGTATTATTCTTTTAGTTGCGAGAAGACATATAAATGTGGGTCGCTTGTAAGGTTCCTCTCTTTCTACACATTTTCATCTATCGTTCTATGTCGTGAGTAATCTTATTCTTTACTCAATAAATCTCTTTTTCTTTTTTTTTATCAATGTTATAGTTTATAATAATGATAAATCCCTTATTTATTTTTCTTTTCAACAATGATTCTTTTGTGAAATATATCTATTTATATTTTCTTTTATTCGGACATTTTTTTTAACTTGAGATTCTCATTTCGACATGTTACACATTCAATCTTTTTTTTCATCATATGTTGATATGGACTTCTCTAAGTTTTTTTTTTGTCTTTCTGGTTACGCGACTATTGAAGATTATAATAACTATGGTAATTCTATCTGAGTTAACACCATCATTTACTCATATAAAAAACATATTTCATTCTATCAATCGTATTATTTTCAGTATGATACTGATGATTTAAGATTACATGTTCTGTTTTATACGAACATATGATTAATTATAATCCACATTTAACACAGATAATAACTTGTTAATAGAAAATTTCTCTGTCTCTACAGTTATAAGTTCGCATAGAACTAAACCAAGGTCGATAAGACATGTAAGAAAGCATAGTATTTACCCGAATATGTTCCACGAATTAATGGTGGTGAATAAACATTCTGTTGATGGACATAACCAAATGAAGGACGATTTGGTTGGATAATAGTTGCTCTACAAAAAAAATAAAATAAAGAAAATAATTTTGATTCTTATCTTTTCTCATAATTATAAACAAAACAAAGGACAACTTACTTTCCAGGTGCAATAATATCTTCAATCATTGTTGCTTCTTCATCAGCCATACCATCTCGAATGGCTAATTCTCGATCTTTTCTCTAAACAAATCAAGAATAGAGAGGAAAAAAAAATAAAATGAAGTTCAATGTTTTTGTTTTTTTTTAAGAAGTTTATAATAAAACCTTTTTTAAGATAATATCAATATATCCAGCAATTAATTGAGATATTTGTTGACCTTCATGAGTTTGTACTGAATAATAAGCAGTTGCATAATCTCCAAAATCCTAGACACAAACAAAAAACAAAAATTAATGTTATTGAAAGAAATTTTTCTTTACAAGTGTAAATGTATTTGGTGATGCTGTCCATCGTTTAACATGTGTTAAAGGCCATACTTCAAGAAACTAAAAGAAAAGAGAAACATAAAAACGAATAACTGTTTTATTCATATATATATATATAATAATCTACATCTTTGGTGCGCTCATCAACTCGAACAATAGATTCTTTTGTAACACCAAGTAGACGTGGAACAAGTTTATTTTTGCCAGACATTTTTTCCTAAGAGACAACAAGAAAAAAAAAATTTTTTTTTTCAAAATAAAATATATTATTCAAATCTTTTTGTTTTTTTTACTTTAACAAGGAAAAAAGTTACACCATATGTTCGTAATGATCGACATAATTGTGTATATTTTAATTTAGCATCAAGATCTGATAAACCATGATATTTTTTATGTTCCTAAGAAAATTCAATTAAATAAAAATTTCATATAAATCTTTTTTTTTTTTTTTTTTTAATTAATTTACTTGAAATATTCTCTTTTCGACACCTTTTGTTTTTGTATATTCTTTTGGTAAAAATTCTCGAACACTAAAAATAGATATAAATGATTATTTACATATATACATTGAAAAATAAAAATATTATTTTATATGTGACCTTGAAGCTAGACAATACACATATCGAATTCCTCTCGTTTGTTTTTTTTTTCTAAATTTAATTTCAAGACTTGGAATAAAAACAAATTCATTTTTTATGATTTTGATTAAAACTTAATAAATAGTAAATTTCTTCGATATTTGATTCTTCAATATTACATTGAAGAGATTATGAGGAATTGAATATGGAAACAAAAGAACTCATGCAAAAAAAAAGACAAGGATAAAGAAAGCTTTTGTATGTTATTTCAGCCACAAATACTTATAGATTTTTACCACATATCTGATCGATAATAATATTCATTCGACGAACAATTATTACAACAACTATTATAGAGATATATATATACATATATAAAATTAGTTGTTATTATAATTATTTTTTTTTCTTAATCTTTTACATTTACATAGATAAAAAAAAACGAACGTATTTTTCTTGGTTCTTACTCAAGAATATTTGGTTTATGTTTTGATTCTTGATAATCACCAAATTGCATTTGACATTGTAGACCAGCAAATTGAATAGCTTCATCATATGTAACTGGATGTGTTCCATCAAGAATTCCATTTCGACACTTAAAATAGAAGATAATAAAAAAAGAACAAAAATATTTTTTATTTGAATATTATTCTTACTTGTATATAGAGTAAATTAAGTTGTACAGGATCACGTTGATCAATGTTTGTATCTGAAAAAAAATATTTTCGTCGTAAAACAACTGTTGCTTGTTCATCAATTTCTTGTTGACGAAGTGTTTTCGAATGATCAAGCCATAAAGCTGAAATTATTATAAAATTAAATTAAATATAAAATTAAATTCAAAAACAAAATTAAACTAACTGTCATCATCTGTATGACATTTCTTTTTTAATTCTTCCATTTTTTTATCTGTTCGTTGAAGAGATCGTTCCTAAAAGAAAAATTTTATGAAAAATTCTTTTTTTTTTCTTTTTGTTCAAATAATATTAAATTTTTACTCGACGAAGAGTTGCTGTTTTTGTACTACTACCATCATCAGAATCAAGATCATAAACAAGAGAATATTCATCATAATTTGCAATACCAAATTTAGTACAAATATAAACCATTAATTGAGCAACTATTAATGAATCATCAACAAGAATTGTTCTAATTGTACCATCTAATAAACGAATTTTTAATGGTCGATATTTATTTTTATATTCAACATTGTCCTATAAGAGAAAACAAAAAAAAAATCAATACAGAAACTATGGAAAAATTAGTAAACGAATTTTTATTCATCATACTCCTGTTTTTAAAGAATAATAACTTAAAGTTCTGGATGAATCAAGCCAATAACTTCTCGATGGATATTGTACATCATTTACAAAGAGTCCAAATTCCGATTCTAAAATATGAAAAAAAAAACAAAGAATTTTTTTCAACATTTTATCAAGACAAAAAAAAACAAAATTGTTTTTTTGTTTTGCACTTACGATCATGGCCAAATGTAATTGGTAAATGTCCTTGAATACTTCGACATATATCACCAATTAACATTTGAACATCAAATTGCATCGGTTGAATAATATTATCATGTGGAACATGAATATTTAATGTGATCATATGTCCACTAATAATATTTCCATTTACTATAGTCGATCTGTTATTTGCTACCATCATGCCACTATCAATATATGTTTGTTGATGATGTTGCTGTTGTTCGTTATTTTGACTCGTCCGTTCGCAAACATACTTCTGAAATATAAGTAGAAGAAAAAAAAGAAATTGATGATGATAAAAAAAGATGAAATTGAATCCTATTCTAAAAAAAAAAAGAAAATGAACGAGTATTGACTATTATTACGTTTAGTTTTCTTCCAGGAAATCGATTCTATTGTAAGTGAATGAGAAAGAAGGCGAGTAAAAATCAACATAGAACACGTTCGACCCGATCGCAACTATATGTGGCCGATGTTCTGCAGTCTGTGTTCAACGGTCCAAAAGAAGAAAAAGAAAAAGAAGCAGCAAAAAAACTCTTCTTCTTCTTCTTCTGTCCTTCTCTCCTTTCTTTCTCGTCTGTCCTGTTCAGTTAACAATGAACCTTCTTCGTTTTTTTTTCTCCTTGTCCTCTTTCTTCTACTCAATATTCTTAACCAGAGAATGACCAGTACGCGTTGGCCATATTAAGATGATGAAAGATACGTGGCACTGACACATACAATATTATAGACGCTCAGTAAATGTTTACCATAGTATTATTCATGAAATGATGTCGACAATGTTGAGCAGACATGTTTTTATAAGGTGTATTTTTCCAAAATGGGAAGTAAATGTATGATTCACATAAACTTTATTTTATTTTTCTGTCAGTTAAAAAACAATAGCACAGATGTGACTCATTAGAAGAATAATCAAATCTATTGCTAAATAATCCATAAGAGTAAACAATGGAAAATAAACTATTTCTATTTTATACTAAAACAAATTTCGATTTGACTTTTTTTTTTCGAATTATATATTTTTAAATCTTTTTATCTATTTAAATTTATAAATTAGTTATTAATTTAAATATTCACAGTTATAGCATCAGATAATGTACTTTTGGTGAATCAATTTTTGTTTGCCTAAGGAATAGTTATTTAACTATTGTCATCAATGATATAACTCACTTACAACAGTTGTGCTAGTATATAAGTATTACATTGATTGCCAATAAAAAAAAAAAAAAAGAACGTAGAGATAAAGGATAATAAGAGATTACTTTATAATACATAATTAATAATCATAATAATCAAATTTAGTTTATTTATGATAAAGAAAATTGTAATAATTATTCATGATTTATAACAAATTTTCATCTGATTCCGATTAGATGTCAAGTGTCAGTGAATATCATTAATCGGATTATAGAATAATTAACGTTATGGAAGTTTAGTCATGTCGAAATTATGTATAATATTTTCAAGAGAAATCAGTCTCGGATTTACATATGAAAACAAACTGTTAAAATTCTTAAGTAAATATTTAAACAAAAACAAAAACAAAACGAAACTTAAAATCTCGTGAGACAAAAGAACTTCATTTATTTTACACGTTTGATCTCTTGTGACAACTTACCTCTTTAGTGATTTCCTTGTAGAGAACCATTGAAATTTAGATAAGTAACATAGATATGGCCGTGTGAACTGAAAGCTATTGTTATATTAAATAACAATAACAGAGAGATGAAGAAATATTTGCTCAAGAAAAAAAAAATTGCTCGATAGCGACAAGAAAAAAAAACGAAGATTATTGTAGCACTATAACTGACAGACGTTCTTATTTGTATTACTAGAGACAGACCACATTCTTTCTTTTTTTTTTCTGTTGCTGTTCTTCTATCATCTCTTTTTCAGCCGCAGTCAAGTATTTCCGCCTCCTCTCTTTCTTCATGTCTATTTACACGAGAAAAAAAAATCCCCGACACAACAAGATACATCAACTTTTTCTCTTCGACAAAATGCCAAGTCAGTTTAGTATATAGAAAAAAAAAACGATGAAGAGAAGAAAAAACTCTTAAGAACACACGATTAATTCTTCATCTTATAGGTTTTATTAAGAGTGTTGAATAAGAACATTTTTTAATAAAACTTTGAAATCAACTTGAAACGAATATTTATTGATCAATGATACTTGACTTTCAATTAGTGTTATACGATATAGATTCAGATATGCTACAAGGCTTTATTTTATATAATAATTCCATATGTTTTTTGTCTTCCGTATCGTCCTTATTTATTTTAATTACCAAGTAAATAAACGACATTATAATCCTTGTAGGAATAATGTCGTTCATTAATTTTTTTTTTGTCTGTCTATTAATTGTTAAGTTTTTAAAAACATTGAATATATCATGTTAGAATATTATTTTAATTTCGTTACAATTATAAATCTATACTATATCATTGTTTTTCAAAGCGATAATTAAATCTTTTAAAATCTACTTGTTCGAACATATAGATAAGCATAACATCTATAAACCAATTATGCAGAAAAACAAAAAAATAACATACTATCAGATGCTATAAATTAGTGAATAAGAATAGGAACCATATTGTAGCGACAAGCGTTGAGACAATATGGAATTAAAGTTATCTGCTATAGACGCCAACGTTAATCAATTGACATTCTTTAAGTAAATAAATAAATAAACATTACTAGCTAAAACAATAAATTCATGAATAAAGAATCCTTTCTTTATATATATATATATATCATTTTGTTTTTAAATATACCTTAATAATCATGTTTTTAGATTCAATATTTCGAAAAATGTTTTTTCTTTTTTACAAAAATATGATAGATGTCGCTAATTATTTTCGTATTTAAAAGTGATTTTATATTTAAAAAAAAATGAATTTACATTAAATATGATGATGAAATAATGAATAATTCTTCACTACAAAACATATAAGTAATAGTTAGATAATGAGATTCGTCAATTAATAAGATGAGCCATCTCTAATCATAAGCAGGAAAGCAATAAATAGGATGCGGAATTTGGAATGATTCATAAACATCATTTCTCTTGAAAGACACAGAACAATGTAAGTAGAAAATGAATGCTTTATAACAGACAATGACGTCATTTGATTGTGTCTAGAATTCTGGAGAAAAGATTCTTAAAGCTAAGAATAATATTGCTTAATCTTATTTCATGGAGTAGATTCTAGAAGAATAATCTTTCATTTATTATAGATAGAACTATTAGAAATATATATATATATATCTGCTTAGTTTTTTTATTACTAGTATTTTTCTACGCAGACATACAGATGTAGTATGAAGAGTAAGGATAAAAATAGATAAATCACCTCTTGTCATTTATTATTCATATCAAGGTGAAACGTAATCACAAATAATAATCACGTTGAAATTATGTACCCAATAAAACATTTAAATGTATAGTTTGTTTGTTTTTGATGTAATTATTATTCTTTTCTTATCTGAAATTATCTACATTCTATTAACAAATTATGTTTACATGTTCGTTTAATTTAATTATAAAACTTAAGTGAAAAATTTTTTTTAATTATATCTACTTGTAAAAATTCTCATGAAATATGATTTTAAGTATGACGAATTTTGTTTATCTTGTTTTTCTTTTTCACTTATTGAGTGTAATAAATAGTTGATACTGTTTTATTAGATATTCTATAAAATATTTTAGTTTATTTTTGATAATCGAGTAGACAATTATTAGTTTCATATAAAGCTAATACATATGCTTTGGTTTGTGAATTTCTTTCTGATGAAAATGCATTTTTTTTCTTAGAACATAGTTTTGTTTTTGATTACTAAGATAAAAAATCTATTCTAGGTATGTACCTAGATTTTTCTTAAATCAATATTTATTTTCTAAATTTTACATATCTAATAGTATGCGAGATTACTTCAATTTTATTTTCAATGATTTTCAGCGACATATATCGTCTCACATTTCTACCAATGAATCTTTCTTTTAACGGTCATAGTGACACATATAGTACTCTTCCTTGTGGTAACGGTATTACGTTTTTTTTCTTTCTTATTTCTATGCTCTTTTTTCCTTCCTTTTCTGTTTTTGGTTTTTTTTTTCGCTGTTGACAGGCTACGTATGTGTCTTCTCGTCTTTTCTTTTTCTTTCGTCTCTACATTATAATGGTAATTTTACAAGCAGTCTAAATGGGTCTTGCTCAACGGCAAAAAAGAAAAAACATCTTTTTGATAGACAAAAATAACTTTTTTATTTTCCTCTATCTTATTCTTATTAAATTTAACATTTTAATAAACACAAATTGATCAATTATCACTTTTTGTCTATACATTGTAGACGTATGGCTTGTAAATAATCAGAAAATTTATACGAAATACTACAGACAAATATATATATATATTTATACATATATTTATATATACTGATTATATTTCAATCATCATGCTGTATGTTTTTTTTCTTTCTTTTTTGCTAAATAATTTTACTATATTTTAGACAAAGTATTTTAATTCTAGAAATTAGATGAAAAAAAAACAGAGGCAACAAATTTGAAAAGTTAATTTAATATAAAGTTAAAATAGAAAGAAAATTACTTTTATGAATAGTTTCTATTTCCTTTTTCTAATAGTTAAAACTTAACATAATTTCATGATTGAAATCTAATATTGTTCTTTTTTCTATCTTTTATCATGATTATTCAAAAAACAAAAAAAAGGAGCCGAAATAATCTTTTTTTTTTTGGTTTAAGAATTCAATTTATTTTTTTTTTTTTGTTATTGCTATGTTTCAGTGGTGGTCGAGCTATAGGTGCCATCGTCGGTATTATTTCAGCTTGTAGTCTTTTTGTTTTGCTTGTTGCTTGTTGTCTTGTCTATTTTCGTCGTTATTTACAACGAAAAGGTTAGTGTATCTTTAAGTATTAATTCTATTCATAATATGAAAAAGAAAAAAGATGAAAAATCATTGAAATCAATAAAAATTATAAAAAAAAAACCAATACTACAGACTTATTTCATCAAACAGAATTCTTATAAGCTTCATTGTGTATACGACAAATGAATGTTGACCGACAATTTGAAATGCGTAATTGTTCTATTCGCGATAGAATTTATGATAGATAATAAAGAAAAAGAAAAATTCAAGCATTTTTTTTTTTCTGAAATTCTAATCATAGTTTTTGCAATTATTCAGTTAGACTTCGGTTTAATATTTAGGTACTAGATATGTTCCGGCCAGTCAAGTAGATAATCAACGTATGTATTGTTGTATTTGACAATTGCTAACATATAAAATCTCAGAAAAAAAAATACAATCATCTTAAAACATTTTTTTTTTGTTTGCTTTTTTATCGAATATTTGGGAAATAAATCTTAATGATTGTTATATTTCTTATTTTTTTTTCCTTAGAAATAAACGCACGACCTAATATTCCACAAGTACGGACCACAAATCAAACGACAGTTAACATACCTTCGGAGTGTAAGTTATTTTCAAATAAATAGTGTCATAAATATATTTTTTTCCATATTTTCTAGCTCCTCCACCGTATGATGAAGCCGTAAAACACTTACCCAATGTATAACTATATAATGATTTATTCTTAGAATAAAGAAATTTGTATTGATATATTAACATTAATTCGTATAATGTTTTTTTCTTTTTTTCGTTGACGTTAATATATATCTATATATATATATATATATGTATTGTATCTTTACACTCAGGTTCACTAAAAACTTAATGAATACATGTAAACGCATGTTTTTTTTTTGGCATTTTAGATTTTGTTTTATTTTTGACAAGATGCGAGATAGTCATCTATTTCGATGGTTTTATATTCTATTTATTATTTCATGTGAGATAAAAATGATCAAACAATGATAAAATATTATGTTTTTTTTTTTCTGTATTTAGTTTTATTTTCATCATGTACTGATGGTAAAGGATTTGGTGGTGGAAGAGGTGGAGGTGGTAGAGGTGGAGGTAGTAGAGGTGGAGGATCTTGGGGTGGTTCAAAAGGTTCAGGAACATTCGGTGGACCATCAAGTTATAATCGTGTAAATAGTTATGGAAGTTACAATAGTATGAGTAAGGGGTAAGTAAAACGATTAAATTTATCTTTTCATTGATGCATTTATTTTTTTCTTTATTTTTAGCCGTTCCGGAAGTAGTTTTAAAAGTAATGCTATGAGTTTTGGTGCTGGAGCATTAGGTGGTATAGCAGCATATTCTTTAATGAGATCAATGTCATCATCGTATCATTCAAGACCTGGATATTATGAACCAGGCTATGGAAGTAAGTTTTATATATATAGGATGACTTCTAAAATTATTCCATCAGGTTGATATGCAATATTTTTCTGTCGATTTAAATATTAAGAAGAATTCAAATAGTAACATGATATATTTTTGAATAATCTTTTTATATTCATTAATATGTGTCAAACTGATGACTCAGTTATTGCTTAGTTATATTTGTCGATTCGGTACTGAAAGTTTGGGAGATTCTATGAAATGGATATTGCGATGATGTGATGTAAAGGAAGGCGTTGAAAGACAGGTTAGATATCGTAGTATTAGGTCTAGATAAGAGAGAAATTATAGTGAATAAAAAAAGAAAACATTTTATTTGTCGTAAGAACATAACAATATATAAAGAAACAATATTTATCATTGTCTTTATGATAACGCGAGCATTACTTATTCATCAAATGCATTCTATGTGATCTGTTAAGGTTATCTAATGATCGCAACAATGTTTAAAAAAAGTCTTAGCTAAAAAATTTTCAACAAAGACTACTATGAAGCATCGATAGTATCAAATTCATCATGGCATTGCAAATCGCATATAAAAAGTGTTATTATTAAATTTCTTAACGAAGAGAGAATTGAAAAATATATTCTATCAGATACGTTCAACTGGCTTCGCTTCATATGAACTTCTGTTATTCAACTATTTTAATATATAAAATAAATATATACATCGATACAATAAATTTAACTAAACAACAACTGAACAATCAATTTGACACATATCGATGAATACAAAAAGATTATTCAAAAGTATATCGAGTTTGCTATCGATCATTGTTATGAGATCTTCTAATATTTGATATAGATAAATAAATATAATATGCTTCTTTTTGAAGAAATATTATTACTAATTTTCAGAAGTTTTTTGTTCTCTCTCTATATTTTAATGAAAAAACATTGTATAGACCTAATATGTAGATAATTAGTTGCTCTATTATTTTTAATAATTGAAAAACAATTCTAGGAACTCAAAAAAACTAATAATCATTTTCATCTTCAAAACTTCTGGTTAGAAACAAAATTCTCTATTCAAATAAAATATTAGCATTCTTCTTATTACTATTTATAACAACAGAAAAAGAAAAAAATTGAAAATAAATCTTGTTCAAATAATTTCGAGGGTTAATATACATACAATATTAAGTTTTGTTTTTTTTATAACTATTTATATAGCTGGAGAGACATGTACAAATAATGAAGATCTAAATGGTACACGATTTGGACGATTTCGTTGTCCATTAAATGGATTTCCAATAGAAGCAAAATATTGTTGTGGTGAATATGAAAAACAATATTGTTGTATTCGTGACGACAATAGGTTTGTTTGAATGAAATAAAAAGAATAAAAAAAAAAAAAAACAACTTTTGTTTTTTATCATAAACAAATATTGATTTATTTAGTGGTGCGTTCCGTGGTGCTTCGAGTTTTGGTTGGATACTTCTTATTATAATAATGATTGCTATTGCCATTGTTCTTATTTCAAGACATCGTCGACAAAAACAAAGTATTGATTTTTTTCTTTTAATATAAAGTTTCTTGTATTTTTGTTTTACAGAAGCTGTTGTAATGGTTCCAATGGAACCAACAATTGATGAACAACAGGGAACACCTTTTTATCATCCACCACCACCACCAATGGGTTATCCACCACCACCAACTGGAAATCCATATGCACCACAAAATTATGATGGAAATTTTAATTCTTTTCCACAGCAATATCAAACACCGTATCCACCTCAACAACAGATGCCATATCTACCTCCACAACAAATGCCATATCCACCACAGCAACAAATGCAATATCAATCTCAACAACAACAATCATATAATCCGTATTCAGTTAAAGAAGGTAAAAAGAATAGAGATTTTCTTGTTTTACTTTAAATCGCAAAAAGAACATGATACTAATCTAAATCATATATAAAAATATCTTTTATAGATTTTCGATATTAATTTTCACTGTAAATGTTTATTATAAATTATTAATTAGGCTTGTATGTATGAAATATAATCTGATTCATGTCTTAAGAAAAAATCATAACTTATATAAATTTCATACGCATATGTCTGAAATCTGACATACAAGATAGAATAAGTTCGTGTTGTTCGCTTTTTTTTTACTTTCCACAAAATTTCTTTCTCTCGTTCTTTTTACACATGACGAATTATTTCAAAGAAGAAAAAGAAATTTTCAACAGTTAGTTGCTATCAGTTACATCATTCAATTACAACTTTTATCTACAGTATTTGCGTGAATGATCTTGTGTTAGCTTTAAACCCTACCCCCCATAATAGAAGCCCCCGGGGGCTTCTATTAGGTCCCCTAATTTTTCAAAGGTGCCAAGGACAAGCATTTTTCGAAAGTCCTAAGGAGTTTTTATGGTTTTTATGAGTTGTTTAGCAGGTTTTCGAAGACATTTCAGGATTTTGATACTGATAAATAAGATTTTAACAGGTTTTTACCTCTTAAAATGCCTTAAAAATGTAGGGAGCTTCTAATACGTCTGGCAGATCGACCTCTCTGGAGGGGGCTTCTAATAGGGGGAGGGCTTCTAATATGGGAGGGGCTTCTATTATGGGGAGGGGGTTTAGAGAATAAGCTTATTCACAGGTTGACTATTCCATTCCAATTAGTAACATTATTACCGTGTGGCAATCGAATGAAAGCATGTCAATCAAACTCAATTTTGCATCCGATAGAAATGCGAAATCAATTATGAAAAATATAATAATCACGAAAAAAAGGCCTAGACATGAATCACTCGCTAATGGAAATAAAAATTATATACATACGAGAAGAATTCTATTTTAGATAGTGACAGACAGAAGTTTAGAACAACTGTATTTTTCAGTGTTTTTTTTTCTCAGTGGTAATAACCAACAAAAGTTGTGAAAAAAATTTTACAGCTAAAAGTGTTCTCTATCAGGTTTGATAGACTCAAAGATTTCAGCAAAACATGCTTGAGTAGAAGTTTACGAAAACAGCAAGACTTTCAAAAGCAATTTTCTAGCTTTCAGTCAAAGCTTTTCGAAAAAGATTTGATTTCATAGAACAAATGATTCTAAGAAAGATAAGACATATTTAACATCACTATACTCTTCCTTCATCGAATTTCATTTAATTTACAAAAGATCCAAGAAGCATCTTTTTCTTCATATTGAAAATGTCGATGTTTTTTGTCATGTTTGACACATATTGGAATCTTTTATAAATTGAATGTAGTTCAGTGACGAAAGGTCATCGAGAAGTTGAAGACATCTCATCTTGCTCAGAATAATATGCTTTTTCAATTCAGATCTTTTTCGAGAAGCTTCGAATGAAAATCAGAAAGTTGTTTTTGGAAATTTTGATTTTCTGCAGACCTTCATTCAAGTAGTTTTGCTGAATTCTTCAAGACTATTAATCCTAATAAAGAATCTTTTCAAAGTTCTTGCTAACGATTATCCTTGAAAAGAAAATATTTAGCAACATACTTTAACATCTTAGGAGAAGAATTTTAATAAAAAAAAAAAAAAAAAAACTGTTTATAATTTTAGGTGGCCCACCAGCGTATGAAGTTGCTATACATAATAATCAAGGTGTATCTTCGATAAAGCCCACATAAAACAAAATGTACAAAACTTATTAAAAATTTCAAAAATAACGAGGTGATGATTGAAATATTATTAAACTTTTTCTCTCGAAGTTGAACCTTTATGTTGTGTAAATCTGTGCATCCTTTAGTTATGTTTGCTGACCGTACACATATATACATATACATCGTAAAACATACCTTTAAACCTCTGTCTTCATATGTATGAATTTTTTTCTCTTTTGTTGTTGCTATTTTTTTCTTTATAAAAAAAATAAAATTAAACTCGAATCGCACAAGGAAGAGATTGATCTCTATCAGTTGCATGATTGTCATCAGTTGTTGTTGTTTTCTTGATAGCAGATCGACGACAAGTTAATGATGCTTCACGATTTGATCGAAATGATAATGATTGTAAACGATTTGGTAATGATGCTGCTGTAATAAGTGTATTTGTTGGTTGTACTGTTGATGCTAATGGAACATTTGATCGATATGATGTATAAATACTCATTTGTCTCCATATACGAACAATTTTATCTAATTCACGTTCATATTCAATTTTATCAGTTTTATTTGGTAAAATAACAATGGCTTTCCAATTTATTGTTAAATATGCTTTCAAATCATGTATGACCGGTAAACCAATTTTAACACGTAAAACAGTATGACCATAATTTTTATATGCTTGTAAATAATCATCAATTAATGTTGATAAACGTTCATATTTACCATTTAATGGTTTATATGCAAGATCAGTACGACGACTTAAACCTAATGCTCCATACATTTGACCATATTTAACACCAAGAACAATATGACGATAAACAATTGAATTAAAACGTGTTTTAAATGATATATTGAAACGTTCAAGACCTACAATACCTGTTGTTAAATAAATAGCAATTAAAAAGGCTTCAAAACATTTTATTGGTAATGATTCTGTCATTCTAAATACAAGTAAAAAAATAATATTTGAAGATTTAGGAAACAATAATGAAATTTTTTTTCTTTTCGTTTTATTTATATTTCTTACATATGTCTAGCAGTATCCATTAAACCAGATATTGGACGATTTGCATTAAGATCGAAAAATTGCATACCAGTATAATTATATTCAAGACGTTGAATATATGTTTGTATTTGTTGTAATTTTTCTTGTAGAGTTAAACGAGGATGTGTTGCTACATGATAAGGTGGATCCACATATACCATTTGAGGATGATCATTAATTCGATCACGTATTGTTTTTATTTCTAATGCATCTTAAGAAAAAATGAAATTTCTTTTCCTTTTTTTTTTTAAAATAAAACAACAACAATATGACATCTAATTAACTTCATTTATAATCATCGGATTTTCTCGTTTGTTTCGTGTTCATTAGGATGAATAATATTTTTTTTTCGAATATTGAAATACATAAATTTTCTCATGCAATCTGTCAATATACGATTTTCTTTTATTCAAACAAAAAATGATTATATTCCAATTTTATGAACATTCGAAAGTTTTTAGATCTTGCTCATTAATTTTCATTCTATAAAATGTTACAAAGCTCTACGTTTTGTTCATTGCATGCGAAAAAAAAAACATTCTAGAACAACTGTGACCTTGTTTTGAAATACTTTCATTAAAAAACTGTTTTCTCTTTTGTTGATGTGAAGAGAGTTTATTGAATGAATAGATTCTTTCTAATAGAACTATTTGAAGTTGAAACTTGAAGAATTCGTTTTTCTTTTCAAGTGCTACAATTAAAAATAAGAATATTGATGTTTGATCATTAACTTTTTCAAGAAAAATGACGAGCTAAGTTCTTGCTAGAAATGTTTACATTAAAAAACAACAATAAGTTATTGAACCGATGGCTTTTTCTTCTATTAAAAAGAACAAGATAATTTTGAAGAAATTTCTTTTGTATATAGTTAGCATTTGTTTAAACTATTTTTTCAATGAATAGAAGAAGATTTTTAGTTTATATGTAGATTTATAAAAAAGTTAAATTTAAATAATAAAAAGCTATTTATCATATGAACTTACTTTTAGGATACTGTTCCATACAAAACGTCCACATACGTTCAGTACATCGATCTGATAAAGGAAGGCCATCACGATTAATATAGAATAAAATAGCATCCCCACTACGCATTGCTTCATAACCACATGTTGTCGCCGCCATCAATACTTATGATGCTGTGCAGCAACACCATCAATAACTGAAAACAACCAAAACAAAAAAATAATAGAACGGAAAAAGAAAAAATTTGTTTAAATTATACGACGTCAGTGTATAAAAAATAAGAAAAAAACAGCCTTAGTTGTTTTTCATGTTCCTGTTATTTTAATTGAAAAGTAACGACAAAGAATAATAACCATTGAAGCAGGCAAAAATTTTAAACAGCTGATTAACCTTCATTTGAAATTAAATGTCCTTGGTGACGTCCTTAACATGAAAATACAATAATCGAGATGGCAGCATACTTTAGATTAATAAACAAAAACAAATTCTTCACAGAGATTTATTCTTATGATTGCCATTTATAAAAAAAATATTTTGCTAAAATGATAAGATATTATTCATCAATTAAATTATTTATTAGAATATATTTTTTCAAAAAAAAATCAACTTAAAATCTTCCGGTAATAGTTTTATACGAAAATATGATCTATCAGCAAAGGATGTGGCTGGGTACAGATATGAATTTAAATAAAATACATCCACACATTCACACTATACCTACACCTACACCCGTGAATACCTAATTAGTTATGAATTATCTAGAGACAGCTGTTAGCATTTTAGTTCAATTTATTTTCTATAAATAAACATTAAAACAGGATGTAATTGAAAATGTTATTGTTAATACAATAATAAGGTTTACGTAACCGTAACCATAGGCGGCGGAGCCTGTAGGCCCAGTGAGGCTTAAGCCTCACCTCCTTTTGGCTTCTGTAGGCTAAGCCTCACCAAAATTTTGAATTTGAAGTTTAATCGTTTCTGTATAACTTCAAATTTTTGTATAAATAAAATCTTATTTTACTATGAAAATAATATCTATTATGATTTATACGTTTATTCGGATGAAAAAGAATGCAAACAACTTGAATAATATAATTAACTTGGACTTCGTGATTCGATTGCATTGTAATGATCCACAGCGGCACCTTTTTGTTTAAACAGTTTGACGTGTGAAATAAACGAATCGTAGAGTTGTGCGATATCATGCACACAGAACCAAGAGAAGGTTCAGAGATCATCCTCTTTCTTTTTTAATGTAATCGTATTATTCGTCTCGTTTTGTGAAATATAGCGTTAAAATCTTTCCGAAACTATGACTAGGGGAGGGAAGTTACCGTTACGTTGCCAAGTAACTAGTAACTCCAAAGTTACTAGTTACCAAGTAACTAGTAACGCCGAAGTTACTAGTTACCAAGTAACTAGTAACGCCGAAGTTACCAGTTACCGAGTAACTAGTAACTTTGGCGTTACTAGTTACCAAGTAACGGTAACGTTTTATGGACCCTTATCTGGCGACGTAATATTCGAATACCTTAAGATGTTCGAATATTACGTCACCAGGTAAGGGTCTATAAAGCGTTACCGTTACTTGGTAACTAGTAACGCCAAAGTTACTAGTTACTCGGTAACTAGTAACTTTGGAGTTACTAGTTACCTGGTAACGTAACTAGGTAGTAACGGTAACTTCCCTCCCCTAACTATGACTATATTAAAATTAAAATCTTTTTTCAATGACTATATTAAAACAATTATAGATTTTGTCATGGTGATATTGATCTTGGAAGACTAAAATATGAAGCACTTATGATTTCAGACTTTTTAAAAGTTATTATTAACAAAAATCAAATGAAAATAAAACTAATTACCAAAATTTCGACAGTTTGTGAAACTTTAAATACCTGCGAAATTGAGAAACAAATGTTTCAAGAATTTGATAAATTAATTCGACTTTATTTAACTGTCCCAGTAACTACAGCAACTGCCGAAAGAACGTTTAGTGCATTAAATCGAGTGAAAAATACACTTCGAAGTTCTATGACTCAATCACGTCTTAATCATTGTTTATTGGCACATATTTATAAAGAAAAACTTGATAAAATAGACCCATATCAAATCCTGTCAGCATTTATATCATCTAATGAACAGAGACGGACATTTTTTGGATTGATACTTTAATAAAAAAAATAAATTATTCTTGTACTTAAAAATATTGTCTTTCAGCAAAGGTTTAGAAATTTTGTTGATAAATATCAGCAAGATCAAGAGTGCTTTTTGATAAGAAGAGCACCAAATAGTCTGAAAACAGAATATCATATGGTGTTATTCAGGTTCCCTTAGGCTCATACGAGAAACTATTTGAGGATGGAAATAATACTTGAAATGAGCCTCACTTAATTTTGAGACCTTCCGCCGCCCCTGACTGTAACTGTCATTGTTTGCGTTCCGGCATTACATGTATAACTATTAATCGCTCCCCAGTTTACGTTTCCGATACATGGTCGTAATGTATAACCTGTATTACAAGCGCATGTACTACCCGTAGCCGTTAACTCGTAGCCTCCACCACATAGGCCAACTGCCCATGAATAACCATTCGATGCTATTGGACCATATGTCGTATTCGTTCGCAAAGCTTGAGCTATGGCAGCGACAATGTTCGAGTTTGTTAGGCTTATTCCCGTGGGATTGTTACCAGAGACCGAAAACGAGTCGAGTACTCGACAAATCGACTCGACTCGACTCGGTTCACGCCGAGTCGAGTCGAGCCCGAGTGCGAAGTTTGAGAAATGTGTCGAGTCGAGTCGAGTCCAGTCAGATCTACTGTCGAGTCGAGTCGAGTCGAATTTGACCCCAACGATTCGACTTTTTAAAAATTTCTTCATAATTCTATCATTTGTTTCTCAATATTAGTCATCGTCATCGTTAGACGAACCGAGATGAGACAATGTCAATTCATTTCAATGAATAGGTTGAACAAAGCATTAAAATGAATAGACAGCGATGAACTGACGACGCTAAATAAACTACAATGAATGATATACACTAGCTTTCATTGTATTCAATGCATTATTGACGGTTCAAAGATTAATCAGAATGCAATGACTTGATTGATCGTCAGCCTATGTAAGTGATCGGCATGCGACGTGCAACAGATTTAGTAGTGTATTGCATTATTTCATTATCTATCGCAAAAAGATGATCAAAACAGAATGGATGTTTATATGATCAAATATTTGGTCATATTTAGAATATTGAAATCGATGAAATATGTTAACCATTCCATCCAATAGGACCGTTTCGAATAGTCTTGGAACATTTATGGAGAGAAGAAATCGGCCTGCAGTATTGCCGAAATCGCGCAAGAAAATGATTCAGAATTATTCGAGACGCTAATTCCAAGCTCTGAAACCGAGTAGAAAACTTGTAGAAAATTTCTGTTTCTGACAGAGAACCTCCGAAAATCGATAGAAAATCGAAGCAGTACATCAAGTGGAGAGAGCGAAGGACTTTTTCGATGATTTCCGACCATCTTTGAGCGACAAAGACAGGATTTTAATGGGAAGACACAGAAAAAAAATCTGAGATCTCCAAGTCTCAAATACTGCTTTCAAGAAATTGTCGTAATTTCCTGAAGCTGACGGTGTCCTTTTCGTGTGGTCTGACATGGATGTTTCAACACTATGATACAAGTGAAACGTGTGTCTAAATTTCTTCTCATTCTTGATATTAAGAATGTACTTCTAAACATTCGATTTTGAATCGATACTCGGCGGCTCGACTCGACTGGGCTCGAGTCGAGCCGAGTCAGATGTTTTTTAGATGCATGTCGAGTCGAGCCGAGTCGACTGAATGGTTCAGTCGAGTCGAGTTGAATTTTTTTGACTCGTTTCGGTCTCTGATACGGAATCTGTCGTGATTTCGAAAATTTTTTTTCTATCGCGTGGCCGTAGATCGATATGTTCTGCATTTCTATGATTGACACAGTGTGAATCATTTTCTGGCTAAAGCCATTTCAAGTTATTCAGCTATAGATTGAGGTGTAGTAAAACTCTTATTTAGCAATATAAATATTCTTCAAAATTCAACAGCATTCGGGTTAGTATAGATTTTTCAAAGATTTCTTTAGCTTTTTCAATGATTACCTCATGCATATAAAAGGAAGAGAAGAAGATAAGTCTCGAGAAATAAAATGCTTTTGTGTCTGCTCTTAATATATTTGAAGACTTTAAACTGATCTTATCTTACCAATAATTGTAGGTACTGTTTGTTTTGTGAACATAGTAACGATTCCATATGCAGTAAGTGCCATGGCTACAAAGACAAATCCAACAATGATCGGTAGCGTGTAAGTGAACAGTGAACATGATTTTCTTTTAATGTTTGTAGCGCTTCTCTTTAAAACTCTAAAACGAATAACAGTTGTGCAATTAAGAAATTATAGCTTAGAAAGTGCTTGCTACGCTCAATTAATACATAAATATATGTTGATCCGATCAATTTTACTAACTTGTGAAAGTCCTTGGGTAATTCCTCCCTTTGGTTTAATGTTGATGATATTGTAGACGAAGAATAAAGATTCATAGCATGTCCAAATGTGAGAGATGGACTCACATGCGAAGAGAAATAATGATTCTTCTGCTTTTGATCTTTGTAGTGACATTTAACCTGTGAAGTAGAAGATTTACTTTTTCGAGTGTCCATTGGAAGATAAAGCTAGTTAGTGTTACAGTTATATAATGAAGACTGTAAGTACCTGAGATCGTTGTGGAAATATCGTGTTGCTTGGAACATTAAACATATGGATAAATTAAAAAATATAAATCTAGAAAATATTCTGAGTTTTTACACTATTATACATCGAAAGAAATTTGATACTCTCGAAGTGTTCTCTCTTGCTGACTATTCGTCTTAATCAAATGAATGAAAAGATTTCATTCGTCTTATTTTAATAAGGTCGACGAAACCTTGTCAATACTGCAGAAAAGATTAGGCTGCCCACTTTTCAATCACTCTTGCACCTTATAAGTCGTTTCTAGAAAGAATACATTACTTGTTTTATTATTCAAATAGATTGAAATATTTACATTTCATGGTAGACATCTTAAACAAATACAAACGTTCGATGGAAAATGATGGAAAAAAATGACATTCTATACAATTCTTTTGCATCGAACAACTTTAACACAGTCACATTCGTGATGCGAAGCAGGTCACTGTCTTCAATTATTTTTCATTCGTTTATTGAAAGCTTACATTATTTAAATCACCCAAACGAGATACACACAGAGAGATATAGTAGAAGAAAGAATAATTAAAAGATACTTCGGTCAGCTAAGACACGATTGAATTGGAAGAATTTGATGCATTACTTATCGATGCACAACAAAGATATCTATGCACTTATATAGTCTGAACAATGTTCATCCTTCCGCCCATATTGTGAATCGTAGTAGTATGATAATTTCGAATGAGTAGAGAAAAGCATAAAGCCACGAAAAACATTCTGGAATATATGACAATGGAAAAGAGGATTTGAAATTGTGAGGATCTCGATGGAGTAAGGTAACTCCAGTAGAATAAATAGAAGACCTTCGCTCTAACATGGTAACATTTCCAACTGATATATTGCTTATGAGTTGAGACAATGTGTTTTATGTAGATCCCAATAAGCTATGAATACTTTCGAACATATTCGTGCTCTCAGCTTACAACTACGGAGACACTACACTTTTAAGTGATTTTCAGAATAAATGGCGTAATCGCCGTCAAAAACACCACAAACACTGAATGTCACTTTTTGATTTCAAACATAGCATAGGGACAAACTTTAAAGAGATTAGTTTATTGTGAATGTTTCAGATCTTTTGATTTACTTCTATCTTGAAATAAAAACATTCAATCTGCCGCTGTATATGAGCAATGTAAATGACACGCTATTAGCATAGCCTTATTTTAGGATAGGAACATCAACAAGATCAGAAACATTCACAATAAAATACTCTTGTTAATGAATTAGATGCTTAGCTCAATTCAAGTTAGAATATAAATGAAAATTTCAATAAAAAACCAGGTCTATAATAGCCAGAAGCACAATCAAATCCTATTCAAATTATAAATTATAACTCAAATAGAGTTGTTCTACAGATACGACAGAGAGACGAAAATCAACTTTTATTTGAATTCTAAATTATAATTCTGATTGTGTCATCGTGTCACTACGGCAGAAACGTAGAAAAAAAAATTAATCGAATTATAAATTATTATTGACATACTGCTATCGTCTAACTATCGCAGAAAAATATTGAATCATTATCATAAATTATAATTTCTATTGTGCTGTTCTGCAACTACATCAGAGGACAGAACAAAAAATATGTTTTTGAATTCTACATCCTTATTCACATAGGTTGATACTATGTTTGTTGCAGAAGAGCAAATAAGAGAAATATTCTTCCCATTTAAAGTTTTAATTCAGATGTTACTGAATGCTAGCTGTTCGATCAGATCATGCCATATGTATCACATTTTTTCTTTGTGTTAAAACCCAAATGAATCGGTTGTTGATTTGTTACTTGAAGCAACGTTTTGAGAGATGGTCCACCAAAATACCAGACAGTCGGTTGGCAGACACATCTGTGATTTTGAAGTTATTCACATTAACATAAAGATTTCGTAGACATAGTACTAATCCAAAATATCAGATTGACTTGACAAACTCTAGCTGAACTATGAAGTATCAAATGATAATAGATCTCTGAGAGATAAAAGTAAAGTAATCATTTTTTAAAGCTTTTTAATATAATACGAAACGGATTCATTATTTCAAACATTAACATAACAATGACTTTTGCCAAAAGAAGAAGAATTTTTTCTCGTTTCAGATCATGCATTTCTCGTTCAATCTATATTCGCCATTATGTGGAAAACTACAGACAATAAAGCATTTTTTTTTCATTTTTTTTAGAAGTATTTTGGCTCGTGAGATCTAAAATTGGAGATCATAAAAATCGTGAAAATCTGTCTCATCTAATGTAACACATTTGAGAAACAAGACCAGAAGTTTACTCAACCTTTTGAACTGAAGAGTAAGTCTATACGCTCTTAATACTTACTCCAGAATATTTTCATTATATTTTTCATGTCGATTATTTTTCACCTACAATTTCATCTGAGGGTATGTATATGCGTAAGTGTCCATATAATGTTGCCGTGGGTGGAATGGGTGGGTGTGGATATGTGTGTAGGCGTAGATTTCTCAGTACGGTTAAGTGAAGATCTGTGAAGCTCATGCCCATACTCTATAGCAATTTATCGAAATCAGTTTTTCTTGCAAACACAACAATAAAAATTGATATTTTTAGCAGATCAATGAATGGTAAAGGACTGTTTTTCTTGTGTCTATATTATTTACAAAAAAAAATTACTCTGACAGACCAATGTTGCTACCTGGTCGCACATTCTCTTCATTGCAGCATGTATGTGATCAAAATAGATTGTTAACTTAATAAATAGTGCTACGCAATTCTTTTTATCATTGTATAGATTACGACATATGGTGAATCTCTATACGTTTGTCTTCTCTGATTACTTTTATCGACATAATATTTGACAGGACAAACCAGGTCTCGAACTCCACATACTCTCAGGTAAGGATGCTTGTTACAACTTATCAAGAGTTTATTTTATAGATAACTATATTATATTAGAAGACATGAAATATGTAAAAATTTTGAAATTAGTACCACTTATAAGTAGTATACATTGATTAACAATAAGTTGAAATCAAAATGATTCCATTTTCTGGTTTTGTTTCCTCGATTAAATCAGCTTACAATAATATCAATCCGACGACACTTACCGGTGCAATTGATGTTATTGTTGTTAAACAAGAAGATGGAACTCTTCGATGTACTCCATTTCATGTTTGTTTTGGTAAATTAAGTGTTCTAACAAATCAACAAAATAAAGTATATATTACTATAAATGGCAGTCCTATTGAAGATATCTGTATGATATTAGGTGAAGCTGGAGAAGCTCTATTTATCGAAGATGAGAATACGACCCAATGTGTTTCATCAAATCATCACATAGAACCATCCGACAGCAAGAAATTTCTTGAATCTAATACTGCTGTATTAAACGATTCTAATTCTCCATTATCAAATATTGATTGTTCCCCTCAAATCATTAATAAACAACTTGATGAAGAAAAATCATATGAAAACAATGAGGCAATAGCAAAATATGTTTATGAACAAACAGCTTCAGACGTTGATGAACTAAATTCGAATATATCTATATCGACTTGTCTGCATCAAAAACCGCCAGTGATAGATCATAATGAACAAAATGATAAATATTTAAATGGTGATGAAAATCAAGAAGTTGAAAAAATATTACCTTCGAATGAATATCAATCGCGTAGACGTCAACGTACTTCATCATCTATATCTATGGATGATAATATGACAGATCACAGAAATGATGAACAAAGAAATGCGTCTACAATGCATGCACGTCGACTTAGTGTAAATGAACATGATTTACTACAATTTCAAATCGATGATGAAAAACAATCATCATCGTCTAGAACATTTGTTAATGAACATAGTCAAAAAAACTTATTGATTATTCCACCAAAAAAATCCGACGAATTAGATAATAGTGAAGATTATAGAAGTTGTTTTGAGGATAGTGTTAATGAAAATGAAAATGATCGAAGAACTACAAGAATATTATCAGATCCAATATTAATTGAACAAAATTCAACAAAAAAACATACATTAACAACTACAGATGAATCAAATTTATTAATTAATACATTTTTATCTCAATCAGCACCAATAACCATTAATGAAAATAATGTTTCAATTCAAAAGAATCAACCAAATGATTCAACTTCTTTTTATTTAATTGAAAATTTTTCACCGACATCATCATTTGAAAATTCTATAACTCCTGAACCAACTAGTCCAAAATCGGATACAGAATATGAATTAAACAATTCATCTCAACAATCAGTAACAGATAATCAAACAAGTTCTGGATGGTTATGGGGATGGGGTGAATTCCCTGAAAAAACACGAAATATGTTAAAATCTTTATGGGCAACATCATCCAAAAAAAATACATCTCAACAGGAAATTCATCCTGATAATATAATAAATGATAAATGTGATGATCGTTCATATTCTTCACCTCAAATCAATATTCAACAAAGTAAACCAAGAAGTCTGAACGATACTAATCCAGAATTAGGAACTGACAATGTAATACTACAATCATCAGTTCAAGAATATCAAACTTCTTGTCTTCTTGATGATGTACAACTTTCATTATGTGGAAATGTCGATAAATTATCATCAATTACAGATGATTTATTCAATCAACATCTGATTTCATATGAAAAATTTGCTAATAATCCATCTATCATCAATGATCCAAATTTAGTTGTACGTATGGGTGGAAAATTTCATAATTGGAATGTAGCTTTAGCACTTATGATATCGTTTATTGTCTATCGTAAACAATTACCATCTGAAATAGTTGAAAAATTGCCAAAAAAACATACGGCACAAATTCTATCGCGTACAATTAGTGGTATGAGTTTGTGGCCATTTTCAAGAAAAACTGCTAATGTAAAAAATGAAAATACTCCATCATCATCAGCAGATACATTGACTTCAGTCGATAAATTCGAATTCGTATCAACTATACAACAAAATCAAAATTCTATTCAAAAAGATTTTAATGATGATGAAAAGAAAGATCATGAAGTAAAAACAATAATAGATAATATAGAAAATGCACAATCAAATCGAATGCATAATTCAAAATTAAAAAAAACTATGATTCTTACATCGGATCAATTAAAACTACTTAATCTTAAAGATGGTATAAATAAAGTTGAATTTAGTGTTACAACTTCTTTACAAGGTACAACTGTAGTTGAAGCAAATATATTTGTTTTTGATCATAAAACAAAATTTGTTATATCCGATATTGATGGTACTATAACAATATCTGATATATTGGGTCATATTTTTCCACTATTTGGCAGAGATTGGTCACATGATGGTATTGCACAATTTTTTCAAAGTATTCAAGAAAATAATTATCAATTTATTTATTTATCTGCCCGTGCTATTGGACAAAGTCGAATAACAAGAAGATTTTTACGCAATATTACACAATGTGGTTTTGCATTACCAATTGGACCATTACTTATTTCACCTGATAGATTAATGACTGCATTCTATAGAGAAGTTATTGCAAGAAGGTCTGAAGATTTTAAAATTGCTTGTTTAAAAAATATTGCAAGTTTATTTCCAAATAAAAATCCATTTTATGCTGGTTTTGGTAATCGAAAGAATGATCTATTGGCATATACAACTGTTGGAATACCAGAGACTCGTATATTTACAATAAATCCTCGTGGTGAAATTGTCCGAGAAAAAATATCTCAAGTATTATCTACTTCATATAAAAATTTGCATGAAGTAGTTGATCAATTATTTCCTCCAATAGATTCATTCTCTGCAAGTGAATCTTTTTCATCATTTACATTTTGGCGTGAACGTCCAACAATAGATCCATTAGAAGATGAAATGCGTAAACATTTAGAAGAAATGAATGTACGAAAAAAATTTAAAGGCAAAGGATCCACATGACAAACAACCAGTGTTTCAAAAAAAACCAACGGATATAAGAAAGTAATGAAAAACTATAAACATTCGCTCCTGTGATATAAAATACAGTGAAAAAATGTAAATAAAAAAGAATTTTATTTATTCTTTTCTATGAATTGGTCAATATGAACATCTCATATGATAATAAACAATAATTACTATAATCCTTTCTTCTTGTCTAATTTCATGTTTTGTTTTTTTTTTCGTCTTTCATTGATAAACGTATGTTTTTATTAGTATTTTTATGTTTTGAAAGATAAGATATAGAAGTTTGTTTAAGAAAAAACATATTCAATATATTTTAGTATATGCCATAAACATCTTCAACTTCTAGAAAAAAGAATCTGATTCAACACATGTTGTAATGACGAAAACGTGTGTGCTAGTGATAACAACGGTCTAACAGAGCAACACTTTTCTTAAAATAAGCAGAAAGAACATATGCATTTTCGTAAACTAATCAACACAAGTGATGAAAAGGTGTATATGTAGAGGATAGGTACAACCATATAATAACATTCATACTCGGTTCCAAATCTGAGCTCATCCTTTTTTTTCATTCCATTTTAGAAAAGATGATAAGATAAGTTTGTGCAAACGAAAATAAATGATAATTTAACCAAGAACATCTATGCGTTTGTGCTTATCTCGGATAAACAAAAGAGAAGGCAAGATAAAATCTGTGCATCACATCTATATTGGTTCCCAATTAGATCGTACACAGTTTTTGTTTTCAAAAGTAGTGCGTTGTGCGACATGAAAATTTTTTGTAGAAAGTGTGGGTGTGGGTATATGCAAGGATTAGTCAGTAGTTAGATCCATTTGAAATTTAGTTAACAGATTGTTCACACCCACCCAATTTAGGAAAATGTTATTGTTAAATGACTTATATTTCGTCAACAAAGAAAGAGATTTTAAGTCATGTTATCTAAAGCTACATAGAATATGAAAGGGCAGAAAATATATCGAGTGCTGTGAAGGTACTCATTAGAGTTACCTAGAAGAACAGGTATTTTTGTATTGAATTTCAATAAAAATTTCAACAGCAGGATTTTTTATAATTTTTACAAAACGAGGTTTTGCAGCAATTTTATTATACTTTTGTGTATTTTGATGATTTCTGCTGAGTTTTCACAAAAATGTTCTTCAATGTGTTTCAAATTGGACGAAAAAAATTCATTAAATTGATATCATCTGAATAAAATGATATTGAAATAGTGTTGTTCACATAGATTTTGCATCAGAAAAAGTCGATCAAAATTGTGAGTTTTTTGAATCAGTACTGCAATATTCGAGATTTAACAGTATCAGGATGGCTAGAAGCGTTGATGTATAGTCTTGTGTACCTTAGAAGTACGACTGTTTCATGGCGTCTATAATGTCATAAACCATAGTTGCATCAAGCAGTAAATGACAAGGTGGGTATGGATAATTAAACAAGATCAAACCAAACGCAGAGGAACACTCGCGCCCACATCCCACATCCTATTTTTGCAAGTCTATTTATTATAGAAATCGGAGAGATTGATTGAATTGTCACGATGTCCCTGACCAAGACAATCATTGTTAATAAATAACGTGCAACAAATTAATCACTAATGTGCTATGTTATAGAGAAATTTTTCCTTTTTCCATTCTTGCTATATCAAATAATCTTCTGTTCTATTTTAGGTTACTTACACCTAGACTAATTAACCCGTAGAATATCCTGTAAGTTTCACCCGAAAACAATGTCCTTTTTTCATGTTACCGGATTTTTAAGAAAATAATTGTTTTTCAACCGCAACTCTCAGGATTTTCTATCAATGATTAGATCTATTGATGAGTAACATCTTACGTTGAAACTTCAGCACTCTTCAGATTTTCAAGAGAGAAAATATTAAAACTTATTATGGCATGAGCAAATAGTTTCTAGAGAACTTCGGGTAATTACGGATTCATGAAAAAAAAAATTTAAGGAAATTATCTATGACATTTCAGAAAATCACAGGAAATGACGAAAGCTTCTAAAATTTCTTTAGCATCAATATGGATAAATGTAGTCATTAGTCTATAATAATATCCAAGCTCATCCGCAAAACAAAATATATAAGAACTTCCGGTAGTTGTGGTTATCATCAAACAATTACGAAAAAATTTCTGTAATTACAGATACTCCCTTTGCATTCATGTAGACAAATGAATTTTCACATCTATAGAAATATAGAAGTCCGTTCACAAATCTAAAATAATTTTCGTTAATTTTAAAGTAATTATCGACATTGCTTAGTATTTTCTGAAAGTTTACATGGCTTGAGGATACGGATCTTCCAAATTCTATACAGAATAGTAGGATATATGCCTCATCAATATGTAAAATTTTCCGTACTTTTCAACAAAAAAATAATAAATACTGAAATTTCTCAGTAATTTCTGAAATTTAGTATTCAATTTCTTTTTTTTTAATGTCAGTAATGTCTTTAGGTTTCCAAGAAAATTCTTTCTCATGAATTGATAATTAGAGATTTTTGCTAAAAAATATCTTCTAGTATGTTGGTAATCACCGATAGTTGCTTGAAATAGTCTTCTCATGTGTTAGTAATCTTGAAAGGTTTCTTTTTCAGAAATCTAAACATATGTCAGAGTTAGAGAGGTTTCAACTTCTTCTACAAATGGTTGATTGTCACTTAAAAAAAGAGCTGAGCCCTTCCTATTAGAGCTCGGCGTGAGATGGGACAGCAATTATTTCGTCTCATTGGACAAAAAAATTTGATGTAAAACTGTTCTGTTGTTAAAAACAATACAGCAGCTTTAATATAAATCTCATAATTACTTTTTGGACAAAAAAACAAGTGAGAAATAAAACTTCTGTAGGCGTTCAAAGATTGTAATAATTATGACGTGATATAATAGAAAATGATGAATGCACCAACAGATTACGAAAGAATTCATTGAAATTGTAAATGAAAAAAAGAGAAATCATTGCAATGTCAAAATAATTATATAAAACTTATTGTAAAAAAACGCTTAAACATAAATTGACATCATCGTTGTCTATGTCTTTTTCACGATTACCAAAATGAAATTTAATATCATCGGCAATTTTTTTAAACTTCTTAATTACTATTATTCTTGTATCAATGCAGTGCTCTTGATTACAATTCAAAACCGTTGATAATGAATCTTCATATACTGATAACATCAGCACGCAAAATCTCAAACAAAAAATTTGAACATAATAAATGGATGCTAATTCCCAGTTCAAGCGAAAATAGTTAAGTTATTTCTTTAGTACTTTGCGTTACAAATACAATTCAATGCAGAGAATAAGTGAAAATTTCGTTTTTAGATAAATCACAGAACAATAAGGAAATATAGATAATAACAGTCGTAATTAAAATTGTTCAATTCCAACGATTTCGGTTTCTAGAACCTGCAAAAAACGATTCGAGCTTGTTTGAAATAGTCAGGCTCTAGCTGAAAGCCAATCTTATCGATGCAATTCAAGAAGTTCAACTACAGTTTCGTTTTCTATAATCATTTCTACCTCATCTTGTTCTTGTGATTTGCATAGATGTTGATTAATATACAGTTGAAGCCGTCACCCGTTTGTTGACAAAGGAATCATCGAACAATACGACTATGAAGAATTCAAAGAATAATTCATCTTTTGAACGCAAGTGTTTCAGTATCTTCGTCAAAAAATAAAACAGTTAAAAAGAATTTGAACATATTCCAAACTTTGTTAGTCGTCAATAATACTTTTCAGAGAGTATCAGGCAGAAATAAGTATGAATCGATCAATAAGAATTTGAATAAATTTCGTCTCTTTCAAAAGGTATTTGACCATTGATATGTTCTATGTTTCATTCCACGCATAGCTTTGCGTCCTACAACTTTCTTCTGGTCACACCACCACCACTTCATAGTTATCTTTTGTCTATTCTGACAAAGCCAAAATCTATGTCTAATGTTAGATAATGTTTTTATTAATGAATCATATTCTAATTCTTAGATACATATATATATATATAAATGTAAATATATATATATATATAGAAACAAGAAGTTGAACGACAACAATGAAATACAACAAAAATGGCACTTAGTTTCATATAAAAAAAGACATCACTAGAAGTCTAAATAGACGCATAAAAGAGAGACTAAAACTTAGAAGAAAAATTGCACTTGCTGAGTTATTTCCTAATTCTTTTTTTCATTCATCATGTTCATCATGTATAACATGGAATAATTTTTGTAACATAATTGCGAATGAATTATATCGACGATTAAAATTACTTGGTTTCTTTTTCCACATTACACCAAATATATAAGCGGGTATAGCTGTTGCTAATAAAAGTAAAGATGTACTTATATTTTCTAAATCAGTTAATGCACTTGCAACAATAAGTATTATTAAAATTGTTATAAATATAATTGGAACGATTAAAGGAACTTTAATTGGTCGTTCACGATTTGGATGTTTATAACGAAGAACAATTAAACCAACAGCAGCCAATAAAATACCTATTCATATACAAAATATAAAGATCTTAATAATTTAGTAAAAAAAAAATTGAAACTTACATATCCAATTAATCATACCAACACAAATAATCAGTTTTCCAATATTCGACATGAAGAAAAGAAAAATAAAACTAAGAATAATTTCACATAAAATTGCAACCATAGGTACATTAGATTCATAATGTTTCATGGAAAATATATGTGGCATTAGGCCATCACGACCAGCAACTAAAACATAACATATTCAATATTCTTTTATGCAAAAAAAAACAAAACAAAATAAAATAAAAATTCAATTCATTTTACCATTAAACATTTGTCCAATAGTAAAAATATTTCCTGATGCAGCTATAATTAAACTTATCAATAATAAACAGATGTACAAGATGACAAAAGAGCTTTACCTCCAACACATGACATCGTTACACCAATCGGTATAATATATAATAGAACTGGTAAAACACGTTCAGCAAAGCTAACAGCTGTTGCATCAGATATTAAAATGTCATATGCAGATAAAGCCGTAAAATATGAACTGAATGTTAAAAAATACACAAAAATGCAAATCAATAATGAAATAACAATTGAACGTGGTAATATACGCTTTGGATCTTTAAGATCCTCAATTGCATTATTTAAATAATTCCTTTAGAACGAATGAGAAAAAAAAAATTAATTAAAAATTATTCTTTCTTTTTCTTCTTACCATCCAGAATAAGGAAATAAACCAGCATAGAATGCACTTGTAATTTTTCCATATGTTGAACCTTCGAATGGTTCAGCAAAATTTTCTGTTCTACCAAGAAACATACGATAAATACCAGCAATAATAACAATTAATAGAGAAGCTAAAATTTTTAAATTTAAATAAAAACAAAATAAACAAAAGAATATTGCTACCTATTTTAAAATAATTGCATACTTGATGAAGACGATTTGTCGCTGCTGCTGATGTTAAATTAATAAAACCAACAATTAATAAAAGAAATGATGATAAACATTTAACTAATATTTCAGGTGGTGTACATGTTGGATAAAACCAATAAACAAGATAATTTGATGCTGTTAATACACTTAAAACAACAATCATTGGTCGTGATAATGCAACTTCAATCCAAACACGAAGAAAACCCATAAAATTACCAAATGCTACACGAAGATATGTATAATCACCACCTGATGATACATATGAACAACCAAGTTCAGCATAACATAATGCTCCCTAAATAACATATAATTATATGATTTAAAATTATATTTACTTTTTTCAAATATTCTTTACCATAATACAAAGTAGACCACACCCAATCCATACAACAATCGAAAGACCATAAGAACCAGAATATTCAAGCACTGCTTTAGCACTAATGAATATACCGGAACCAATGATACATGCTAAAAGAAGATTAATAGCATCCAAAAGGCCCATAGTCGGTGGATGTTTAGACACCCTTGTTGATAAAGATGGTACCTGGATTTCGCGATCATCACTAGATGGACTCATCTAAAGTAACCAAACAAAGAAAAAAAAACGAAATAAATACAAGATTGTGTTCGGTCTCAAATAGTTTACCACTACATGTGGTAATGCGCACACACTGACTTTTTTTTTTCTTATCTTCTTAACATTGTTTCATGCATCATATATCTATTTCGATATAAAATTTATTTATTATGACAAGATATGTATGAAATAGTTTCACAAAAAAAAAAAGAAACATTAGTTTATAGATGAATTTAAAAATAAGTACAATCCTTTTTTAAATTTAAATTTAATAAAAATAAAAAGCTTTGTGATAGAAAAGAATTTTTAGCTGGTTATTATTATGTGAACGGAGGGGATCATGTAAAACACATGTTAATGGGTAGAAATAGACAATAAAACATCGAGAGAATGGAAAATGATCGTCCACTCTAACCAACCACACACATTCTATCTCTTTTCTTCGTGCATCAAAGTAAGGTTGTACTACTTATATAACCAAGCAATGTAACAGAGAAGAGAAAAATAAAATACTAACTGAAGTTGGCAACAGTTATAAGAAGAAAAAGAACAGCAAAAGAATAGGACAAGGAAAGAAAAGAACTAGTTCGTTCAGCCAACTGTTCTCACATTATCTGCCTGCTGTTCATGATTACGTATATATGATGATAGGGAGGTGATCCTTCATTCAATTTCTTTTGTTTTGTTCATTATTTAACCTATGAGATGGATTTCTTACACGTTCATTTTAAATGCATGCTTCTTCGAAAGGAATAAAAGCAAAACAAATGAAGAACATAGTTTAATTAGGCATAGAAAAATGATGAAAAGAAAGTTGATACGATCCAACAAATAATAAATCCTTTGTTTTTCTCAAAACCACTGTCTTTATAAAGAACAATAAATTGATTTGCAAGCTATTATAAGAAAAATTAGATAGGCATCTTTCTTTTCTATCTAATATTTTATTTTAATTCTCTTGATAATTATCAGTCAATCAAGTTTCTGATTAATATTAAGTTTACAATCGTGTAAAAAAAGTCGGATAAAATTTGCATGGAAACATACCAAGTTGGTTATACACATGCAACAAAAATAAACATATCATGATAAATGATGATGTCAGCATTTAAAGATTAATTATATGTGTTTATTTTTGTTCAGGAAGATCATATTGATTCTTTTAATTGTTTTTTTTAGATAAATCTTTTCTTCATTATTGTGAAATATTCTTTTTTCTTCTTTTATGATGACATTTCGTTAGTCAATACCTGCTTCTCTTGACTTTGTTGAGAGAACATGAAGTTTATATTAGCACAGAAATCTGAGGTTTTTTTTTTTTTCTTTTTTCTTTTCTTTTATTACTAAGATTTGATAATAGGTCAGATGATGATGATGACGATGATGACAAGAAAGTGACTTTAGTCAGCTGCTACTATTTTATCAACGCACTACCTTTTCGTAATAACAGCAGAAAAAGACAAGAAGAAACAATGTTTTATACTTCAATACGTTTCATTTTCTATCTATTTAGTTTGTAGAAACTAGTTAATAGACTATTAAAACGTCACCAGAAAAAAAAGAATATTCTACAAGCATTATAAAAGACTTACTTAAAAAAACAGACTAGCAATTAATGTCAGAGATATATGAAAAGAAATTGTTACCATTCTCTAGAAAGTAAAAGAAGAACAAAGTCTTAATTATCACCAAATTTTTTTAATGAAATACAACGTGCTGTCATAGATAAAAAACACATGCTTCATTTCATACATTGTACTCAAAGAAAGTTTATTAGTGAAGTCTTTAACTGAGTTTAAGAGTTATTTTGTGTTTGTGTGACTTTTTTCTCACCAAATAATCTTCGCCAAATTTTTGTATTGTGTTAGATGAAATTACTCGATTTATAATAAGACAAAAACATAAATGAATACAATGTTAATAATTTAATACAGCTTTCTAACAAATGTTCTAAAAACAAATGTCAGTAAATCTTAATGTCCTTTTCTTTTATTCCTTAAAGGTAAAAAAGATTCTTTTTATATGTCAAAAGATAGAAAATTTCATGCTTTTATAAAACTGTTAATTTTGTTTTTTTTTCAAATAGCTCCTTCTTGTCGACATCAAATTTAAAACTTCCACATCTAAAGAATCTCTAAACTACAATGGCGAATAAAAAACAACAAAGAAACACTCAAGAGCTTTTTTTTTATCAAGGCTCCATCAAAACTCTGCTGAAGTTACAAACATTCTTTATCTTCCAGTACATGTTTCAGAAGTTTAGAATAATTACATATTTGAAAGCAACAGTTATTGAAACTTTTTGTTTATTAAGACAAAACTCTCTATCCTTGAATATTAGAGAATGTGTTTTGTAGTAATTGTCTTGATGAGTAAAGGTTTATACAAATTATTCCATTCGAAGAAAAATTCATTTGAATGACTGAATAGACCTCTATGTTTTAAGTTTAATAATAAACAAAGTAGACTTGTTTGAAAATCTAAGTTAATAGTGTTGTAAAACTTGAAATTCTCTATTATTTTGGTATATAAAACGATTCTTTATTTTTTATACTAAGGAGACTAGTGAAAAAGATACCTGGAAATGATTGAAATTGATTCTAGGACATCCATTATTATACTAATTCTCATTCAGAATAATGCGTGTAAAACAAAATGAATGTTAGATATTCAATTGAATCATATGCGTATATTCAGTATGATGCATTGGGCTTGAAATTATATTAGTAAACGGATAGATACCATTATCTATAGATATATATTCTCATATAACTAAGAAAAGATAAGATTTCATGACATTATCTACATAATTAAATACAAGTTATAAGATTCATATAAAATATTGAACTATACTTCAAATAGCAACATCAATCAGTAAATTATATAAACAAAGTTTCAAGATCATGATGAAATGATTATGTTATTCCTTATTTCAGTAGAAAAAAAAAATCTTAAATAAAGATTCCATAGAATATATGATAAAAATCAATAAAGATAATCATTTTTTTGTTCTATTTAATCATTTTATGAATCATATTCTTCGAGATTTAATGAAACATATCGAAAATTATTGCATTACTTAATTGTTCTATAGGTTTTTCCTCGATTTATGTCTTATCTATTCGTTAATCGATGAATATTGGCGTAAGTAGTATTACTCAATAGATCAAGAACTGATACTAGCAATAAACCATATAATATAGGATAGAAAACAATAAACTGCATAATTATTATTGATGACTGATATTTGTTTACTTAACTTATCAATTATTCGATGAACATGAAAATTATGTACTGATAATATCAATTATTTAAATAGACTAATAGTAATTGAATAATAAATTAGAAGAAAAAAGTTTTTTACTTATCTATGAAAACAGATCTACGTGCTAACTACAAAATTAAAAAATTCATTGATAACTAATCTTAAAAATGAAAAAAAGACATCATAGCGAAGTTCCAAATTTTTCATTATAACGTCAACATGACAACAGATTATTCTTTTTTAGATCGTCTATATTTATAACTATTTTTTATCCCATTTCGTACGAAGCAAATTCTTCACAAAAAATCACTTTAAAGGAACCTGCTATGACTTAATATTTTTTTTAACCAAAGCTGTACTTTAAATATCAATGCTTACTAATATGCTAACGATTAACAGCAACTAGATTAATAAGAATAATAAACACAAGAGAAACAAGTCGTTTCATATAAGATCATCATTCAAATATAATAATATAATAAAAAAACATGCTGCGATTAGCATATACTATAAACTTGAATAATTGTGTTAAGTACAAAGAATAAAGTCATATATGTTAAACAATGTTCTTCAACTAAAAACCGAGATCTAACAAAAAATTATTACAATCATTTCTGAGTTTATTTGTTTGCTTTTTAATAAGTAAACATAAAAAATATCAATGTTTTATAAAGGCTTCTGTCTTATAGGATTTTGATATGAAAAACAACATTATTAAGCAGAAACCTTATATTTATTATTGTATTTTTAATTATAATTATAATTCATCTTTCATTCCAATCCTACATTGTAATTAATACTAAGAACGAAATTTTAAACTTCGAATAAAAAAACATATAGAATTTACATACATAGATGATTAAAAAATACATGAAGATTTGCTATGCAATCACAGACAGTCATTCTATTAATTCTTTTATTTTCATCAATACTTCAACTTTGAGCAATTACTAATACATCATTTTACTTGTAATAAAATTTCTCAAAAAAATCTTTTGAATATTCTATGAAAAATTAAATATATCTAACACATAAGCAACATTTATTTTTCTTTTTTTTAAGTCTAAATAAAACTAATAATTCTATTTCTTTTTCGTATTTGATGAGATAAAACAAATTTTTTTACTAAATATTGCCTTCGAAAAAAAAAATTGAATCTTTCTGTTTAATTATAAATATCATCTAAAATATCTTTTTGTTTTTTCATAAACGTATCTGTTGGAGAAGTACTTTCCGATAGCCTATTGAAATGTACTTCAAAACAATATTGTTCTTTTCTTAGTTACTATTTTTACAGATTATAATATGTAATGTAACCAAAAAAAAATAATTCATAATATATTGAAAAGACTAAGAAAAGATAAACAAAATGTTATTTATTTTTTGAATAAGATTTATTCCTATTATATTTGTTTATTATTATTATTCCATAATGATCGCATATAAGTGTTTTTATTATGTCGTGGTTTAGCCAAAGCTTCAATACGATCAGTCATATGTGCATGAAGTGCACTTTCTGGAACATCACGTGGAAGTATATAACCACTCATAAAACCAGCTGGTGTTTTTTTTGGATGAGCAAGTGTTGCTAAACGGTCTGAACAGTGTGCTGTCAATGCTGTTGATTTAACACCACTATATGCATAATTTGTAAAATTATCGAAAAATTCTACAAAAGTAATAAAAAAAAAGAAACAGAAAGTTTTGTTTTATTCGAAAATTATTAAAAACGATAACCTTGTCGAATAAGTCGTTCACGTTTGATTTTTGGTCGAGCTAAGTCTTCAGTACGTGCTGAACAAGGAGCAGCACGTAATGTTGAAAATGGAATACCTGAATAACGTGAACATGGACGACGTAACCATGGATGAATTGAAAGCATATCATTATAATAACTATTTCTTGAAAAAACCGAATGACGTGTATCCAAAAAATCAAAATGCCGACCAGAATTACTACTTAAACGTGACGGTTGTGATGAATTTACTTGACTTCTCATTCCACGTCCGTCACTAGATTAAAAGAAAACCAGAGAATTTATATGATTAAGTATTATTTTCATCGTATAATATTAATTGTTACGGCATTTTTTTTTCTATTTGATAAATGTTAGAGTATGAATAACTCTAGATTGTCAATTTGAAAATAAGTAATTGTTGCCTTTCAAATTGCTAGCAGACGTCTAATGCAACAGTCGAACAACAATAACAACAACAGTAACATATGAAAAAGCAGTCAGCATTGTTGAAGTGCATGTAGATCGAATTTTTTCTTCCGTTCGTATTTTTTTTCTTTTATAACTCTACTAATTCCATTTCTATAAAAAAAACAAATATTATGATATTGTTCGTTGGTGAATAAATCGAACTATGATTGAATCTTATTGAACGGAAATTCTTTTTTGTAAGTTCTATCCATCTATGGCATTTCCGGTTGTTATTGATGCTAATTCTTTTTTTTTCGCTTCTATAGAATATATATTCGCTAGAGGGATAGTTGGCAACATCCATAAAAACCGTCATTTTATGTATATTTTTAAAATTAAAAGCATTTCAAAAGAGAATGTAAGCATTCAAATGCATATTATTTTTTGCTGTGTTCATCAACGCTTTTTTTCTTTTTATTCTTTGTTTAAACTGATCATTTAATGTCAGTCTGTTCATCTATCTTTTACTTGCTCTTAAGTTTTTCTTCTCTTCTCTTTCTTCTTTAGTTCAGTTCAATATGCGATGAAAATCCGAACCGATGAATAGCAAGTATAATTCAATTTATTCTTATCGATTAGATTTTGGTTATTATAGAGAAGAAAAAGACAAGAGAGGAATATTCATATAGCATTTTCATAGATGTTTGTGTTTCTCGAATGTTGTCGCATCATATTTTTTATCTTTTTCTATCAATAATACATTTCTCAAATGGTCAATCAACAATTCGAATTGGAATTATTGATGATAATTATGATCATACAGATTTTATTAATATAAAAGTACCCAATGTAACTTTTTGTGGTCGTAAAGGTTTAAATTTACAATTACATTGGTTAAATACATTAGATTCTTTACCTAATCTTATCAATACACTTGAATATGAACAAAATTTTACAAATATTTATTTAACACGTACAATTAACTTTTATACAAATTTAATTCGTGATTTTTGTCAAACAAATCATATTCCATTTATTAATATGAAATCATATGGAAGTAAAACAATGACATGTTCAACAACAACGTTTGTTATTATTCAAAATTATTCCAAATATTAATTCTATTTATTTATTTTTTTATTTAGATCATTTAGTCAAGAATATTTTAGTACGCCTGATATTCTTCAAGTATTAATTAATTATTTAAAATATAATCATGTACAACAAGCCATCTATTTATATGATAATAATGAAGCTGCACATAGAATATATGAACTACTAGAATTAATGAATAAAGATGAATATTATAATAATTTTTCATTAGATATTCGAACAACACTTTATCGAGATGTTTATTCAATGTTATATGATATTGAAGCAAGTTCTTTACAAAAAGATCAATTAGCAAGTTATATTTTACTTGATTTTCATTCATATGATGCTTATGAAAGAATGTTTGAGAAAATTTCACATATGGGTTTGTATTTCAGTTACTTCGAGTACATTTGTTTTCTTTTCTTTTTTTTTTTGATTAATATTTACAGAAATCATAAGAGAATGTGATATATCAGTGTGGAAAGCAGAAAAATATAGACCACTTGAGACTCAGAAATACAAAATGGGTACTATGTGGACAATTTTCAAAATGAGGATAAGACGCCATGCCCAACACGTTTCTCATAACTTACGACCCTGCATAGAAAAGGAATTATTTTTTGTAACTTGAGATTTTCATTAATTTGATTAAGTATTAATAAATAATTGATGAGAAATATATTATTAGAATATTATAGATACAAGTCTAAAGATTGAGATTAAACTAAATTCTGTGGCTCGAGTAAAATATCCAAAATAATAATGAAATTCAAATAGATTTAATTAAAGAATGATATTTGTGTTACGTAAATTAATTCTCGTATTGCTTGATTGGTTTACTCCCGTTTCGGTCCCACTTCATTATCCCTCACTTGGTCCTTTCTTAATTCGGTCCCATCTCAATTCAGTCCTCTCTCATTTCGGTCTCTTTCTAGTTCGTTCATGATTCATTAAATTAAAAGAAGATGACAAGTCTTCTGTCATTTTCATAAGTAGCCGTTTAAAGAATTCATTCCCGAGTGGTTATTGGTTGAGCAGAATGCATATAATCGTCCAATTTAAACCAGATGACGCATAAGTGATCATAGTTAAGAAACGTGTATTGAATACAAAAGACGAACAACAAGTAACATGCAGTTAACAACTAGACATCATAATACTCTTATACTTGATTGAAAGGCTATCAGTATACTATTAAACGAGAGTATTAAAACAGCACCGAATAGCGCTACTGTGTAAGGCCATGCACAATTTCTTGTTGTGCTCAGTGAACATACCGATGGCAGACTGACAGATTTACGATTAGCAATTCAAAGCGGCAAAACTGTAAAAACGAAATTTGTGAAGGAATAAAAACAAAGAACTGTGTTTTTTTTATTATATATGTTACTTTTTATGAGTTATAAATATGGATAACTTTTGTATTTATCTGGTTATTCTTTATCATATAAGGTATTTTCTACTCTATTAAATATAATTATGAGCCATTGTATTTGATAATATTGGGATCGAACTGAGAAATCATCAAATAGGACCGAAGTGAGATAGGATCCAAGTAAGAGATCATCAAATGGGACCGAAACGCGAAAGGACCGATTCGGACCGAATCGAAGACTGTCCGCTTGATTATATTGTAATGTACTATCTAGTATAAAAATGTTTCTATATCATTATCGATAATAATATTAGTTGAATCCTTGACTAGATAGATTTCAATCTCATTTTGAGTTTATCATTTTTGTTCAAATATCAAAGATTTCTTCTAGAATCAAGATTGAAATTCATTTCTTACTTAAACAATACATTCAATAATCTTCATTAATTAGTATCAATGAGAAATTTAAAATAGGAAAGATTTATAATTATATTATCATATATGTTTAGTAATAACAAAAATAGAAAACTTGCAGAAGTGTAATAGCGAATAAATATGTAAAATAATCAGATAAAGGTTACTTATTGATTAGGTTCTTATTAATTAATTGATATGCGTAGGATAGATAAGCAATGGCAAATATTTATTTGTATCTAAATACTACAAGACTCAATAGTGACTTAGCTTTTGAAGAAAACTTCCTAATCATAAATTAGATAAATCACATTGAAAAATCATTTGTTGATTTTATTAATTAACCTTCTTATCTAATCGAAAAACTAATATCGTAAAAAGAAAAAGAGAAAAATCTTTGTAAACAACCGTCTTCTATTAACTATTCAAATATTTTCAATAAGTATCAATATTACATATAAGTTTAATAATTTTTATTGTTTAGGACTTACAAGTGATTTTTATCAATATATAATAGTATCAACATTTGATGTTTGTTTATGGATGAATAAAATTGATTTTCCTGGTCAATTAATTTATTTTGATTATCAACAAGATGATTGTACTTTTTATTCTCAATCATCATCAAATATCTATGAAAATTCATTATCATCTACAAAATTAATTCGTTATAAATCATATTATCGAACAACATTATCATTTCGTAATAATCCTAGTTTTTCAAAATCATTAAATTCTAGTAAATTATTATTAAAAAATTCTTCATTATTATTGAATGATACAAATATAAAATTAAATTTATGTTATAATAAAATTAATATCAATGAAAAATATATTTCATATTCATATTTTAATTCACAATTATCTGAATTATTAGAAATTTATTCACGTACATTATTTGATGCATTAAATTTAATAATACGAATACTTACTTCAAATATAATTGATTGTAAAACATATCGTTTAAAACAAAATAAAAAAATACAATTTAATCATTGTGATTTTACTTATGTTAATGTATTTTCAACACAAATATCATCATTAAATCAATTTAAAAAACAAATTCAACTTATTGGACGTTATTCAACTATAAATAATCAGTATCAATCATGTCATAGAAATAAAAATAAAGATTTATCTTTAATACAAAAATCATTTCAATCAAAAATTTATTATATAACTAGTTTATTTGATGAACCTTTTCTTATGTTACGTAAACGAACTGATCTATATATTAAATATAGTCAACCACATGCAAATTTAAAAGAATTACGAGGTCGTATATTTGATTTTCATCAATTAGAAGGTTATTGTGTTGATTTAGCAAAAAAAGTTTGTTCAACATTAAATATAACATGTCAATTTCGTATTGTACCAGATGGACGTTTTGGAAGTAAAAATAAATCAACAGGTATTTGGGATGGTAAGTAATTATAATTATATATCAAATAAATGACAATAGAAACTTATGAGTAACAAAATATTTTAGAGATATTAAACAAAAAACAAGTTATGAACATTTTGTATAGTGGGAAGTCTCAAAAGTCATGATCATTTAAATAAATACATATAAATCCATTATTGATGAAGTTTAATCAATAGAAGACTAGAGAGTTTTTTATTCGTGTAGATCAAGTTCATCAATAGTGTAGAAAAGGTAACTTACTTCGACTACACTTCAATAGGTAGGCATCGAAAACTGTTCAAGTTTTGAATCATAGTTGATAGTATTACTTTTTCTGCAATAACTTTACAAATAAAAACCGAACTTTATTTAAGTGATTATGATTTTTAGAACATTCTGTACATATTCAAGAAATAAATATAATATGATTGATATTCTTCTAATTATAATGTCTATATTTGTCATTGAATTTTAGGAATGATTGGTGAAGTAATATATCGAAAAGCTGATATGGCTATAGCACCGTTAACTATTAGTCAAATACGTACGGAAGTTGTTGATTTTAGTACACCATTTATGAATTTAGGTATGTTATTTAGAACAAAAAACAACAGTCACTCTTTTTTTATTTATCTTATTATTTCTTTTTTTTTTTTTATTTAAAGGTATTTCTATTATGGTATGAATTTTTTTTCTTTTATTAATAATTTATTTTTATTATCTATCGAAATTTAATAGATTAGTAAACCTGATGCAGAAAAAGCAGGTGTATTTTCATTTATGAATCCCGTATCAATGGAAATATGGTTATGTTTATCATTAGCATATTTTGCTGTTAGTGTTATACTTTTTTTAACATCACGTGTTGTTAATTCAGGTTGGCGACGACGTGTTGTACGACGACCATCATATCGTTCATTTTCATATCCAAAAAGTGTTAATGATCGACGTAAAAGTTTGATTGAATTACAACGTCAAAATCGAGATTCAATTCTTTCGGAACATTCAAATGATTTACCAATTATAACAAGATCATCAATAAAACATCGATATCATAATCGTATACCATCTCCAAATCAAAATTTATCAAATTTGAATATAAATAAAAATCGAACAAAGAAAGAATCAAAACAAAATACGGTTCATTTATTTGGTATTTCTAATGCATTATTTTTTTCATTTGCATCATTTATGAGACAATCAATTAATCTTGTACCAAAATCATTATCTGGTCGAATTGCAGCAATATCATGGTGGTATTTTTCATTAATCTTTGTTTCATCTTACACAGCTAATCTTGTTGCATCTTTAACTATCGAAAATTTAGTTCCACCAATTAAAGGTGTTGAAGATCTTGGTAAGAAGAATACGAAAAAAAGAAAATTTATTATCATGAGTTTGATTGAATAAATCTTTCATTCTTTTATAAAAATTTGACTTTTGTTTTTGTCTTAAATTTATCTCTCTAGAAAATATCTATGAAATATTTTCATAATGAAAATTTTTTGATATTTTTGTAAATATTTCATAGTTAAACAACAAGAAATAAAATATGGTTCAGTAAAAAATGGAACAACATCAGCTTTTTTTGAAAAATCAAATATAACAGTTTTTCAAAATATGTGGACTGTAATGCAAAGAAGTTCATCGGAAGTATTCGTTGCAACAAATGATGAAGGTGTAGCAAAAGTACGAAATTCAAAAGGAAAATATGCATTTTTTATTGAGTAAGTTAACATATATCTATATATATGTTATAAAAATGAAATTTAATATTTACATAAAAATTTAGATCAACAAAAAATGAATATGTGAATGAAAGATATCCATGTGATACAATGAAAGTTGGTTCTGATCTTGATTCAAAAGGTTATGGAATTGCAACAAGAATAGGTTCTGATTTAACAGAAGCAATAAATTTAATTACTACTGATTTAAAAGAATCAGGATTTTTAGATAAACTTAAACAAAGTTGGTGGTATGTTTTAGTTTTCAACTAAACTTTTTCCTTCCCTTGTAGAACAAAGGAATATCGATAAGAAAAATTTCACAAAGCCATCATAGAGGACCATAATTTTGTTTTTATTCTAGGAGAGGAATTTAATTATTTATTTTCTTTTTCAATTCAAAGGTATGAACGTTCCGAATGTACACAAGTTAATAAAGATAAACGTTTTGATAAATTAAGCCTTTCCAGTGTAACTGGTCTTTTCTATATATTTCTATTTGGTATTATTCTATCATGTTTTATTGCGTTTACAGAATTTTTAATAACAGCTAAAAATGAATCAGAAACATTACATATTGATTTTCGAGAAATTCTTCGAATAAAAATGGTTGAGTACGTTACTGTTTTTGTTTTCTGTTGATAATAAATATTGGAAACTTTTCTTTTATTTGTCTTGAAACAGAAATATGATTGGTATGACAATTAATAAACAACGACAATTGGAATGTGATTCTGTTGATCATGAATATAATTATCAATATCATAATGAAGAAGATGAAATAATCAAGCAATATACAGACTATCAATTGCGTAAACCACAAAGTGATGTTTAAAAATATTATGGCAATTTTCAATCATTCTTCAGTATAATTGACATCTATTTTTATTAATATTGAATATAGATACTAATGTTTTCTAAATGTATTGTGTTTATAATTTTGACAGCATTATAGAAATAAATTTGATGTCCATTGACAATATTCTTTCTCTTTTTATGTTTGATGTTATTCAAACCTCACAAAAAAAAATAGTCGGCATACCGACAATCAACTAACAGTATTTTTATATATAAACGATCAACTATTTTTTGAACGCTATTCAACCACATTATATCGATAGTTGTTCTCCAACCGGTAATATACTGTCGGTGCTAGTTGATATTAAGATTCCTGAGAATGTACCCTCCTGACAACTGGTACAACTCATGGACATCTGGAACTCGGTACATTCACTGAATTTACGTCTATAGCGCTCTGAACAGTTGTTTTCGTGGCTTCGGCTTTCTCAAGACTCTAGTCAGAACTAGAAACAATAAAAAAAAAGCACTAGAGTTATATATCGATCTTCTTCTCTTTTTCAGTGTTCCTTTCACTCTCATCCTCACCATCAACCCTCAATATCACGAGAACAAGTGTTGTAGGACTAATAGCTCGGTAGCAAGTGTACAGGAAGTATCTGTCTGAGATGTCACAATAGTTTTACCACATTTATTAGAGGGTATATCGTCGGTAGTTATGGACACTCCAATGTTCTGATGGTAGTACGAACAAACATACAACATGGAGTTTTACATTGAATGTTAATCGAAAAATTCTATTTTTACTACTTAGTTTATTGGCATCTATAAACTTCAATTTTTTTAAGCGGAAATACATTATTGAATGCACTTTTCATAAGCAAAAGCATTTTAAGCAAAATATGTTATTGTTAATCATCTTCTTCACATGGATCTGGACACTTATCACGATGAATACAAGGACTACCAGTACTGTTGCTTTGACGAACATACTCCGAACAAGCACAAAAACAACCAGCAACACATTGTTTTGTACATTGCTTAGGCTTATAATCACACGTTTCAACGTGAGCTGAACCACAAGTTTTATATTTTTCATTGTCACCACAACATTGATCTGGTGCAACACAACTACCATCTTCTGCTCGATAGTAACCAGTCTTACAAAAACAACCAGCTTTACATAATAAAATGCATGCACGAGATGGTTTCGGTAACGGATAACGTATATCATCACAAGTTGGAGGACATGCAGAACCACATGTTTTATATTCTTCATTCTTATTGCCACATATTTTAATGCTCGCAAGATCTTACAAAAGAGAAACAAATTTAGAAAGATCAAAAAGAAAAATATGTTATATCTATACCGTCTGATTGAGTAGTAACGATCAATGTTAATAATAATGGTATAAGAATGGATAACATACAATTCATTATTGACTTGTTTTATACGCTGAAATATATCAAATAGTTGTATTCTATATGTATGTTCTACTATTTATACTCCATTTCGAGAATTATTCAATGAATACAACATAAAATAGAAAGAACCGATGACCTGTATGATGTTATTTTGACATCATTAAACAACCTATAAAATGATGAAATAATTATTCGTACTACAAAAATAATATTCATCAGAAGAACCAATATCGATTTGATTATGCTCGGGCACATAATATGTAGGAATCAAGTACATAATCTAAAAGACATAATATTTTTAACGATTAATGCATTATCACATCAAGTATAGATGATTGGATTCTAGGTTTAATCATATATAATTATATAATGTTGTTGATGAGTTTTCAATGAAATAATTTCATTTTGAATAGATCAAAAATCATTCGAAAGCAATATTGAATAAAATATAACAGAGAAAAGTGTGACTTGAATATTTTGATTGGAAAGATCATTTTAAAACATGGTTCAACATAAATAACGATCTCAAACATATTTTTCTCTATCATTTACTATTGATCAAGATTGTTTGTTCAGAATGAAAATTTATCATGCATTACAAAACCTTTTGGACTACGCACTAAGATAAAATGTAACACGTTTTAGATGTGTCATGATCTATTTGTTTATTCATAATTTTATTTTGTGCATACAGCTACATTTAAACAATTGGGTTGAACATATGGATTTTCTATATCATTACTTGATTAGTATCTTGGTCAAAGACGCATTTAAAGTTCAATTGATGGTCGAAAATAGATTACTTCAGAATAGTTTGTCCAAGGTTGAACTAATTCGACATAGATAAAGTTCAAGATTTCATTCTTTTGGACTTCAAAAATATGTATTATTCATTTCAATTAAACTGAAAAAAGTAATAATTATTTATTTTCTCAGAAAAAATTGACCAAGTCAATGAAAACTAGATTTGAATCTCATGTAAGAATGTATTGCAGATTCACTTGGAGAAATATATCGCAAAGTGCGACACAATTTATATAAATACACAGTTCATAGATGGCAGTACCTTGTGTAATCCTTCAGATCGTTACTATGTGAAAAATATATTTAATGGTATATGTCATTGATTTTCTTTTTCCTATAATAAAATAATGTTGAAAAAATTTGGACCAGGTAGCGAATATTACGCTGAAACAACAGAATTAGATTTAAAACGATCATATATGTAAGTAAATAAGCAAGAAAATGTGATAATATTTTAGTCTTTGTTTTTATAAATTTAGTAAACATGAACGACAATCATTACTTGATTCTTCTATTATTCAATTACCAAAATCAATACAACAAAATAATGAAACATTATTTATGACATCGATTGAAAAAGCTCGAATACGAAATGAAGCTTTATTAAAAGTAATATTTGATTATATTTTTATAACTTTCAATTTTTATCTATTCCATAGTCAATTCAAAAATTAAATCATGACATTGATAAACATTTAAAACAACCAGATAGTAATAAATTTGCAACATTAAAAGTAAAAGAATTTTCCATTTGAATAAATATTTATTTTTTGTTTTTCATACAAATATAATCTCTCTTTTTAGAATAATTATTGGGATATGGTGAGTAAATTATTACCAGTATGGGAACGTGAATTAACTGAATATGAAGAACGAAAACGACATGAACGTGAAAATAATATACAAGATGTATAAAACAAAGCAAAAAGTTTATTGAAATTTTTAGAATTCAGATCCTTGTAATCTATCACCTCTGGAATATTTTCTTTTTGTTTTTGTTTTTTCATATTCATTCCATGATTGTTGTGTAAGTTGATCAATTAAAGATATCATTGGTTCTATAGATTTTGATCTTGTATTAAATTCATTAATTGGAATTAATACAGCTGGAAAATATTTTTTAGCTTCTTTTATATTCATTTGATTATCATCAAAGAGAGCTACATGATATGGTTGAATATCGAATGAATATGATGAAATTTGTTGAATTTGATTAATACAATTTTGTATATGTTCGATTTTTCCATAAGATCGACTAGGATATGATTCAATAATAATTTTATATTCTTGAGCAAGTCGTTTATTTATTGAATGACGAGATAAATTTTTATCAGTTAATTTTAAAAGACGACGAACTATAGTTTGCGTAACTATACCTACGCATTTTAAAATAAATTTAATATTGTATTCGTATGCTAAGATTACAAAGAGTAAAGTTCTAATAAGAACTTCGAATAATAATACAAAGGATTATTCACATATTAAAATTTGAAATTTTGTATAAAGTCATTCAAATGTTTAACGTTAAATACTTTTGCTTTGCATCAAATCTTTGACGTTCGATTCATCTTTCAATTTAGTCATTGTTAGTTAATTCAAAAAACGGAATAGAACAAAGTCAAAAGAAAGGAGTCAAACGTTGACTACAGAGAGATACGAAGTATTCAAATATGAACTTGAATTTGAAGGAATATTCGAGTTCTTATATGATGACTCATAGTCTTCTAGCCACCGTTTGAATAATTATCTAGATACTCAATACTGACTACACTGATTCAATAGCTTCCGATGTTGGATCCAAACAATTTGATGCGAAAATCGAGTCTTAATTCTGGTTTAGCGCATGCCTATTGTGCCCTTGCTGTTGAATTTCTTATGATGCTCAGAACATTTATTTTTCACATCCAGCTTCACATTTACTAATTTTTCACTTGTTTATATTCGTTTTATTCTCGAACTTTATTATAGAGTTCAGGTTAATGAGAAAAGGTTTTCAAGTGCGAATTGTCGATTGAATATCTCTATCGTTCATATATATGGCTCGTTGAGACTAGAAGGACTCTAAAAGTATAGGTCCTCATACCTATTTCTTTTAAATCTATCGCTATTCTACTGACTTGTCAACATTTGACCAGGTATTAACTGAAAATTGAATGAAGAAATATAATATTAGAAATTTTGCCTTTAAGCTAGACTCACAGACAGGAAATCGTCTAGAAAGTTGCAGCTAACACAGATGATCCCTTCTAGAGATATTGAATATGAGAGAATATCAGGTTTTTTTAGAACGCCAAGAAAATCAAACCCTTATCTCCAGAAAGCCCTATTCATTTTGGCTGTAACTTTCTAAAAGGTTTACTTGGTGCGAGATGTGTTAATGCGTAAAGATTTCCAATACATATCACTTCATTTAATTTTGCAGCTAACGCCTGATCAGAGATTGAAAACTATGTAAAATAACTATAACTTAAGAAGAACTTCGTAGAGAAACGAATCTTTTTTGCCTGTTTAGTGTAAAAAAAAAGATGATTTTATTCTATTACTAAAATTAATGTGAATCCTATAACATATATGCTTCATTTACCAAGATTTTCATTGAATGTAGTTGGTGTATTTTCATTAAAACTAGTAATACAAATCCATTTATGTTGAATTATATGTTTAATAAGCCAAAAAAATTGATTACGAATATAAATATTTTCAAAACTCATTGAACTTCCACTATCATCATCAATTAATGTTTTATCAAAATCAATAGCTAAAATTTTTAATGGACTATTAAGAATTTTTTTCGCTAAATTTATTATAAGATTTTGTTCATTAATTGGAATTTTAATTTGTTCTGAACGTACACGTAAATGATTTATTCGAGAAAATAGATACATCGAATTAAAACACAAGATAAATATAAAATGAACAAAAAAAAAAACACAGAAACAAAACACAACAAAAAAAAATAGAGAAAACGCGCTATGATAATAAAACATCAGCTGTTGTTGTTTCAATTTGTACAGTTGGAGTATCATTTGGTGTTTTATCTAATAAAGAATTAATAGCATGTTGAAATGCTATATAATGTTCTTTATTAATAAATTCATATTGTTGAACTGGTTCAATCTAATTTAAAAATCAAAATTATTGAAAATAAAAAAAAAAACTTCGAAAAGAAAATTTTTACAGATTTTATAAGCCATTTATGTCTCATATCAATCATATCTTTAGCACAAGAACCAAATCTTCGATGACAAGAATTAATAATTTGTGAACTAGATTTTGTTTGTAATTGTTTCATAAAATGTGTTAATGGTAATGATTGAAATTCTATGTCATTGAGTTTTTCTTTTTGTTCATTTGTTAATAAACGTTCAGATACACCAAGTGAATTAATGCTATGATCAATACGAGCAATACGTGATGTTATTTGAGTATTTAATGGAATACGTTTATCACGAGATAATAATGACCAATCCATAGACATATAAGCTTCAAGAGCCGCTAATAAACAAAAGAAAAACAGTTTTCTTTTGTTTTTTTATCGAAAGAAAAAATTCTAAATATAATTTTACCTTGTTTTGGTACAACTGGTTCATCAACATGTTCTTCAGAATCGGTTACATTTTCTAAACCTTTTATAAATTAATATTAATGTTTTTCTATTTTTCAAAAAGTATATTTATTTTCATTTATATTTTACCTTTTTCTTTACCACGTCGATGTGTTGAACGTCTAAATTATTAATTGTGTAAAGTATTTAAAAAGGTTAAAAAAAAAAACATGCTTACTTTTTTTCAGATGAAGATCTTGTTGTATCACGTCGATCATTAGTACTACGTGGTTTTGATGATGAGAACGATGATGATGCAGGTAAATTTCGATCTTTTGAATCATTACTTTTACTAGTTTTTGATTCTGATTTTTCTTTATATTTACGACTTGATGTGTCATCTCTTGAAGATGTATTTGTACTACGACGACTATCCGATCTAAAATATAAATAAAATAAGATATGCAAAGCACATGGTTTTGTTTTGCTTTTTTTTTGACTAACCGATTGTTTGTAGATCGATTATCATTTTCACTTTTACGATTTGATGTTACTTTTCTTGAACCAACTAAAAAATAAAGTTGAGATTATTTCTTTTTTGTTTGTGTTTGAATAAAATTGAAGAAATCATATACCATCATTTAGTCGTTTACGTTTTATTTCAGTATTTTCATTTGTTTTTTCTTTATTACGACTTTTATCTGAATCTCGAGATTGTTTACTTTGTTTTGAATTATTTTTATCATTATCATTGGTTCGTTTGACTGGTGTTGTTGATGTTTGTCGAACAACTTTTTTATCAATTGATGGTGCTGGACTTGAATCATCATCAAGAATAACGCATATTGGTGATGGAGGTTGAACAGGTGTAGTTTTTTCAGGTTCATTTGAAAGTACAACAGAACCTTTTTCGAATATTTCAGATGTTGCTGTTACTGATGGTGTTGGAGAAAGTTGAACAACTGGCGGTGTTAATTGCGGTGCACCTTTGGCAATAAAAAAAATTTAATTAGAATATTTAAAAAAAAGCGATTTCAAATGACATACTACGTTCAGAGTGTTCAGATGAGTTTCTAAAAAAAAAAAAAACAAAAAAAAAATTATTTAATATCAAGTCTGATAGAATTGCGAAGTGCATATAATCTCATAATGCAATAGAACTGAATAGAATTTTTTGTATCTGAACTGAATATAGTTCGAAGTGTCGAGTAAAGATTTTGTTTTTTTTCATGTTTATTTGATGTGCTTTATTGATAATTAAACTATGTCGAATATGATTTAGACTTACTCTAGATTTGAAAGGATTTCAAAAAATTGTTGATATGGTTCGATTATCTCATATCATCGACAATCGAATTTTTCTTTTAAGAGCCTTGAATAATACAATGATAGAGATCAATGCTGTTGTCTTGATTAGAGATTAATAAGACTGCCCTGTGCCTTCAATTATGTGTGCAGACGTTAAATGTTACTTTTTCTGTTTGCTCTACTAACATGCTTTACACGTCATAATTTGTCTAACTTTAAGATAATACTCCATGAAAATTTGCGCGATGTTACATAATATTTAGTCTGAATGGTTTATTTCAACCCTAGTCATTGACATCTAACTTCAATAGATAACGTATTTGAGTATGTACAAATATTACGAATGGGTCAATGATCTAATCAAGTATATGTCATTATTTCAATGGTGTTTTTTTTTTCTTCATATTAAAATATGTTTTATAAATGATCTATTGTATGTATTTCGAGATATCAATGATCGATTGAGAGAAAATCTGATTAATTAAATAGAACGTACTGTGTTTTATTTGATTGATGTTTTGTATCATCTATTTTAATTTGAATATTTTTTTCATTATTGCTTGTCGATGATGATGAATGACGTTTTTGTTGATCAGATGATGATTTATTTGGTGATTTTCTTTCTCGTTTAATATCAAGAGATTTTTTATTACTTTCAGCTTGTTGATGTATTGTTTCTATTGATTTTTTATCTCGATTAATTATTTTTGATCCAAGAAATTCAATATCTGGATTTGTTTTATTATCTTTATTTGTTCGTTTGTTATTTTCATCTTTTTTTCTATCTGTTATAACAATTGTTCGTTTTGGAGATTTATTATTTGATTGTGTTTGACGTATTAATTGATCACTGAGTATTACATCTTCATCATGTTGTGGTGATATGGAATCATGAGTTTTATATTTTGATGATGTTGAATGTATATCAGATTGTTTTTTACGTTTATATGATGAATGATTATAATCTGAATCTGATGCTGAACTAAAAGGTGAATCACTACGAAACAAAAAACAAAAAAAACCACATAAGATATAATTTTCAATTTTTTACCTCTCATTAGAACGTTTGTTTTTATTTGATGAACGATTTTTTTTCTTTGATGATTCATTTGAATTTGATGATGATTTTCTTTTTGAATCCGAAGTACGACTTTGAGACTAAAGAAAAAAAAAAGAGTTATTCTATAAAAATAAAAAAAAAAAAAACAAAGAATGTACTTGTTTACGATCAGAACTACTTAATCGACGATCTAAAATAAATTAATAAATACAAAATTTTGAAAAGAAAAAAAAAAAAAAAAAGAGGTTTTTTTCTTTTTCCTTTACCTGACTGTTCATTTGATATTGTACCACCTTCAACAACAGTTCGACTTGATGGAATAGAATTTGAATTTGAAACAGATCGTTGTTCATGTGATACAGTTACAGTACTTTTTATTGATGGTGATGACATATCAACAACTCTTGTTATTGTCTAAATCAATCAAAAAAAATAAAGAAAAGAAAAATTCTTGTTTTGTGAGATATACTTTTGTAATACGAAATTCATCTTTTGCTCCTGGTTGTTTATCAAGACTGAAAAAAAATAATCGAATTCAAATATTCAATTAAAAAAAAAAATCAATTATTTATAATCTTACTTTGGTTGTTCATGTATAAATTTACAAGCATCTCCTAACGGACATGCACCAGTTTTAATATAAGTATTACAAAAGCCATGCGTCTATTAAAATGTTTAGTATTGATTTAAAAACTATATATGAAAATATACAATAAAATTAAAAACATACACTTTTATGATTAGTATTTGTTGTTCCAGAAGACGGTGAACTATTTCCTCCACCGCGTTCGATACGATCAAATACACTTTTTTTCATTGGTGTATGTGACATATTTAGTATGTTTTTATTAATTATATATATCTAAGTTTTAGAAATTTTTTTGAATAAATCTTAATAAAATATTTCTATGAGTAAGACCTTGAAAAAAGAAAAAGATTTTCTACAAGAAAGAAAACTTATATTTGATCTAAGAAGTTTTTCTAATGGTTAATTTATTTTTACGAATAAGAAATTTTTCATATGTGTCGCCACATTTTTTTTTTTATTCGACCAGGTGATTCATTTCCTTTGCTTTTTTTTTTTTTTCTCCTCCTTGTCTATGTCATCTAGAACATTGTTCTGTTTTTTTGATTAATATATTTAAAATTGTTATATGATGAAATATACAACTCTTATGTTAATGTCTTCAACGGAGAAGATTATTAATTTTATTTTAAAAGTCAGATTTATATTTAGTATTGACTGTTTTATAGGTATATTGATGATAAAATATTATTTATTAAGAATAAATTAGTTAGGTTATAGATTTAGAAAATTTTTTGAAAATGGAAGTTGATGATATTTTTTTTTACACAGTTCTATGACGATTTGATTAACATGTTTGTTTTTTTTTTATTTTTAAGTTTTTATTTAACATTGTTTCAAGTAGATTAAATATTTATAAAGGATTTGTTTTTCTTTTTTTTTTTGAGTAGTAAAGAATGAAAAATATTTGAAAAGCTTAATAATAAAATGTAAAACTTTATTCATGAAGTATTATTTTCGAATAATCAATATTTATTATTTGACATTCAATCGTCAATGATATTATTATGATTAATAAATGTAGACAAATAATTAATCTTTTGTTATATCTTTTTTATTTTTATTTTGCACTTTAAGAAAGTGAATCATAATAATGATTGTGATATTTTGTTATAGATGAATGATTCATATGATATTCCGAGTGAGCCTCGTCTCTCAAATACTCTTCAACTTAGTCGACCACCACCACAATCAAGAACAAGAATGAAACAAAAAATGAAATTACCATCAACACCTTCTGAAATAACACCTATTTTTCTTGGTCTTGATGATACTGTACCACTCGATGGTAAGCGTATTTTATTGATAATAAAAGTATATGAATCAGATCATGAATATCATCTGAGTCAAGTTATTAAGTTGTTTTCATTTTTTTTGTATTTGTTCGTGTCCTTTCATAAGAAAATTTGCATATTAAACTTTGTACCTAGTGTGTTTTTGTGTCAAGTTTGATGTTATCGCTAGTTAATTAATGGATAATTAATGTCAAATGATTTCATATTGCAGTGAAATTTGAACTTTTCCGAATCGATTTTAATATGATTAGTAGACTAATCGAGATCGAGACTATCTATTTAAAACATCACTGTGAAATAGAAGGTTTGTTTTCGATACTTATATAAAAATTTATACTTTCAACAAGTAAATCTAACGTCATTTATTTATATTTTAATAAATTATAACTACTATTACTTTTTATTCGATTTTTGTAGATAACATTACTCTCAATAATTTTTAAGAATGAAAAGAACTAGAAAATTTTATCGAAAATCAGTCGTCTAGACTTTGCTAGAGAGTTTTGAAATAGCAAAATATTTTCGTAGATACAACATGAGTAATAGATGAAGAGGAAAAATCTAGCCATTTTTTAATCTTTTTCATAATTTACTTCGTTTTAAACAAATTTTTCATGATTATTTTCTCTTAAATTAGATTCAACTAATGAAACAAATTCAAATATTTATTTAACTCCACAATTAATTCAAAATTCTATACCATATGTAAATCAATTATGTTCATCAAATAATTTAATAAATGATGATTTTTATGTAATGCCTCGTCAAGAAAATCTTTCTTCATGTGATACATATAAAACTTTAGTAACTTCTACTCAAAATGATTATCCTTCCACATCATTAAATTCATTTGAAACTGCTCAAATTTATTCAACACCACCAACATTTTCGAAAAATTTTGTTCTCGAATCAAATTTATCATTTGATGATAGTCAAGATGTTCCAAATATTTCACTTGATTCTGTACCTGATTTAATTAATGATATTTCAACAACAAATGATATTTATTATTCGTATCCTGAACAACAAGTCACGACGGTAATTAACATTTTCTCCCCATCTAATTTAAAACTTCCTTTTTTTTACCTAATCAAAAAATAACATACATATATATATATATATATGAGTATTGAATATAGGTTTATACATGATAGGAACAAAAGAAAAAAAGGTTATGAGTCAGAAAAGTATGCAATAAAATATTGCGTTGATTTGTGCATTTTTTTTCCCTTAATGCTCGCTATTTGTGTTTCCTTTTGTGTGTGTGTTTGCTGATAAAATATAATGATCATTAATCAATCTGAGGTAGAAAATTTAATTCTATATAAATTAATGTATTTTTCTATTTAATATAGCAACGTACAAAACTTATAAATAATAATGAAAATAAAGATTTATTTATTTCAAAATTAAGTCAAGTTATTAAACAACAAGCTGCTCAACGACATCCAATTTCAACATTAATAAAAAAAGATGAAACAAAAAATTAGTAAAAAAAAAAAAAATAGAAATTTTTTAATAAGAAAAAAACAAAAAAATAATTTCTTTTTAGTTATTCAGTAGAACCAATAGAAGATAAACAACCAATGGTTTCATTATCACTTGATGAATTTGTTCATACATCAATACAAAATGATAATGTTTCAACTTCATCAGGTATTAGTACAAAAAAAAAAACATGTTAAGAAATTCATTGTTTTTTTGTTTTGCTAAAATTAAGATAAAACAGCTGATTGTATTGATATTGTTCGACAAAATATGAGTAATTGTCGATGTGCTGATTGTGATGGTGAAAATCCAACAATTGCTATTATCTCTTGGCTTTTAGTTATATGTAAAAAATGTGCTGGTAAATATAATTATATAACAGATGTCACAGAAGAAATTCCATTAATTCCGTACATTTTTTCTTGATAGAAAACATTCATTCTTATGTTTAATGATAGATGATTTCAAGATAGACAAAATTTAGACTAGAAATATTTACGTAGTTGTTCAACTGCAATAAAAAAAACAAATTGAAGATAATTTTTTAATGAAGATCTCAATTAATTATCAACTATCTTACAAAGTTTTCCTTAAAATTTTTTCATATTTTTGGATACAAGTATTAAAATAATAGAACAAATATTCGAGAGAAAAATTTTTAAAATAAAAGAAAAAAAAAAAAACAACTTTTTTCTGTTTAAATCTATTCTAAATTTGAAATAGCCTAAATATTTTCATAGTTCAATTTAATATTAATACATTGTTTTTTTTTTTTGTTCAGAATTAAAGTCGACATACCAAAGCATAATAACAAAATCTAAAAACCACATTGAAAAGATTATAGAAGCATTAAGTTTTCTATCTATTAGCAATAATTAATTAACTTTTGACATTGACTTTAATATTCAAAGACTTTACACAAATCAATAAATATGAGCAGACAGTAGTGAAACAATTGAATAGATATAAATCTTTTACATTTTGACATTGACAAGGTTAAAGTCATTTGAAAAAACAAAATTAACAATTTTGTATAGTTCGAAATTCTATAAGTTTTGACATAAAAAAGAAAAAACTCTTTATGTTTAGAAAGTAAAAGGTATCAAGATTTATTGCAATTCATTCTGTGACAGTTGTTATTTTTCTTTCTTATTCTATATATTTTATTTATTTCTTTTTTTGTCATTAAGCTATTCATCAACTTTTAACATCCGATTTTCTTCGTTTACAATCACTTATAACAACATCATGTGATTCTGATTTAATTGATTTATTACATGATTATGGAAATGAATATTCAAATAAATTATTAGAAAATAATTCATTAGGTATATTAAAACCAAATAATGCATCAACACAAATTGAACGTGAACAGTATATAAGAAAAAAATATTTAGATAAAATTTATCTTCAACCATTAGAAATAAATAATAAAACTAATTTTACACAAGAACAACTTAATGAAATGTTATATGAAAATGTTGAAACATCTGATTGTCGAAAAACAATACATTTAATTATGTTAGGAGCAAATCCAAATTATTCACAAAAAATGTTTGCTGTTGCTGATCATGCAAAACGACATCAACAAATTAAACAAATGAAAATTATATTAGCTAATGGAGGTATATGATTTAGATAATTAATTTTTTTTTTTTAAAACATATTTTCATATTAGAAAAGAATATTCATTGAATAGAAATACGTCTTATGCGATTAAAATACTTTAGAAAAAAAAATGAGAAAGAGAATAGAACATGTTTTTAGTGGATGTAATAGAATAGATGGCAGACTCAGGTTTTCCTATTCTTACCATTTGAAAGAAAATTATGATTTTATATTAATGAAAGTATGTTTTATAATTTGTCTTTATGCATAGTATCAAACGATTACTATAAGGTATACATATTGTCAATTGACGAGGAAACTCTCAAATGTAGTATGTTATTTGAAGTTATATTGCATCAATAAGAAAATCTTGATAAGAGTAGAAAAATCCTAAAAGAATTTTTCTTCGTAGGTCTTTAAAGCCAAGTTATGACTCTTAATGTTAATTTTCGATTTATTTTCAGGTATTTACTGGAAATTCAAACAAAGAATTTTGACCTGAGATTATACTCATAGATATGTTTAATAATCCTTACAGTATCTTGAAAGTTTTAATCGAAAAGAAAAATATTCTTTTGTCAAGATATTAAATTCAAAAATCCAGGAAGACGAATCTTTTTCGGCTTTTTTTCTATTCTAACTAAAACCTCTTAATACAATCAATTTGATTTTAAACGGTAGCTTACTGTTGAAGTGATTTTCTTATAAATCTTTTTGTGAACTTTAATAATGATTCCTATGTATTTATTATACAACAATTCTCTTTGGTATTCGATAGCATAACTAATATGATGTATTGCTTGTTCGAAGATTGATCATTCTTATCAACATAAGGCATAAAAATGTCATGATTGAATTGAGTAATGACATATGATTTTTATCGATGTTTAACACTTCAATCATCGATATAAAAGAAAGTATCGTGTTCTTATCTTTTAATGATGTTTGAAATATTTTGTGTGATGTGCCAATCATCAACGATACATATATATTTTTTTTCTAACATTAAATGAAAATTTCAACAATGTCATGGTAAATCAGGAATCAGCATGTAATTTAATAATAGTATCGTGACAGTTTTTCGTCTTGTATTAATAAAAATTGTTGCTTTTCGAACAATTAATATATACTTTCATTAAAGCATTCACTTTGAATGAAAATTTTTCAGAAAGAACTAACGAGGAAACGTTTTCGACTGTTAAATCCCTTTTGAGTTCGGACTTTGTGCATAAGATAGACCCTCGTGAGATATGAAAAATCTCAAGAGATTAAATCTCCTTAGTTCTTCTGTCCAGAGTTATAGGCATTTTACTGGAATTTTAGCCTAGAACATAGTACCTACGAACAAATTCAATGGCGGTGTTTTGATCTGTGATTTTGCTCACGAACAGATCTATTGATGATTAGAATATCCTGAAAATTTCAGCTCAAAAGAACATTTCCTTCCCGAGATATTAACGTTCTAAAAAACAGAAGATTCTAACATTTGTTGTCCTACACGAGTCATTTTTGGGACGTTAATATCTCGGAAAGGAAATGTTCCTTTGAGCTGAAATTTTCAGAGTACTCTAACCATCAATAGGCCTGTCTGTGGGCAAAATCTTAGACCGAAATACCGCTATTCATTTTGTTCATGGTTACTATGCCCTATGCTAATATTCCAGTAAAATGCCTATAACTTTGGACAGAAGACCTAAGGGGATTTAATCTCTTGAGATTTTTCATATCTCACAAGGATCTATCTTATGCACAAAGTCCAAACTCAAAAGGGATTTGACAGTTGAAAACGTTCCCTCGTAAGTAGGAATAAATTAAAGTTAAAAATAATATCATATTTTGATCGTGAATAGATTTAATGTGACTAGAAAAAGTCAAAAAAGATTTTTACTCATAGATATGTATATTTGAAGAATTACAACCGTTTTACTTAATTTTTGGCTTAGGGTACAGTTCCTATAGGAAACTTAAATAAAAGTATTTAGATATGAAATTTTGTTCATAGATAGGTCTAATGATTTTGAGCGATTTTATGTTTATTCACAAAACAACTTAATTTTATCATAAAAGACGCATGAAGATGATTAAAAGGGCAAATTTTGCATCTGGAAAACATCCCAGATCTTTTCTACAGTATTTTGATGTATTTTACAGATAAAAATTACTTTTTTAAAAGTGTAGTGCATGTGAAAAATATTATAAGAACATTTTTTTTTGGGTATTTTGCTAAGTGAAAAAGTTGCATTTTTAAATGTCTTGGTTTACTTTTATGATAACAATATTTAGTTTCGATGTTTTCTGAACTGATATGGAAACACTTAAGAAAGAACTGAATTTAGGGCGTGGTTAGTAATTCTTGTCTACTTTGGTAGTCTTAAAATAAACAGATATTATTGACTTTCGATAGAATGAAAAATTATATTGCTGCTCTCCGTTTAGATATTAATAATTGATTTAAATGTTATTATTTGATTTATATTAAATTTCTTAACATCACTTCTGAGAACTAATATTTCGGTTAAATCTTTTTACAAAGTTCTTCCTGTATAAATGTTTTTAAAGATACGACAATTAATTTACGATAGTTTCCGATCAACTATAAAATTATCTCAATTCTTTTACTCATAAATCAGTTATGTACGAATTCTAGGAATTCTTATTGATGTATTCTAAAAATGTTAGAATGTACAAAACAGATAAAAGTAAAATGTGTGTCTAGAATTGTTGAATACATCCAATATGAGAACTGATTGAAAAATAAGAAGTTAAATTAACACAGAGAAACAAGTTGTCTCTTATTTATTTCATAAAATCATATGAGCTTTTCTGCTCTGAAAGTTTTCTGTGTTTGTTTTCATCTTCGTCTTTTTCGTTCTTTCATATTTGACAATAGAGATATAAAAAAAAAACGCTAATACGTAAATACATATTTCGCACTCGTTCACACTCAAAAAGAATATTTCAGAAGATCGAAAGACTGGCAAAAAGAAAAGATAAAACTTATCAGTTTCTCATAAAATAATGCGTTCCTATTTTCAGAAAACTCAAATGATATAACTATGAGACAAATTTTTATGGAAACTAATACCCTTACAACAAAATCTTATTTAATTCATAAGTATCCAAATGAAAAAGTATTGAATTAATCGAAGGGTATGGGCGTAGATAAGGCTCTTGTGTTCATCCAACTTTCATACTCTCAACTACACCTCTATATACACATTGTTGTTGAACCATCCTCATTCAAAGAATATTCACTGCATTTCTATACAATTTTCATAATGAAATGAGTTTTTCATCCAAAGCAAATGCAAAACTGGAAGATATAGTTCTTCAATTGCGTGTGAAAAAATAAATTTGAGCTATACATCATCAATGTTTAATCTAGACCATTGTAGCACTACTCTTAAGCCTGTATTAGCTATTGAATAACCATTTATAGAAATATTCATTATTTGAACATCGGAATTTATCATGTCTTCAGGCTTCTAGAAACTATGTAATCTAAATTCTCATCCATAAATTTAAGTCTCTATGAAAAGGAAGAAGTTGATTCTACATAAATCCTCTCTTTGGATGTGTTGTGGATTAGTCGACAAACGATGTGTTTTTTTTTCAATTAAAAGTATCTAATAAAAACAAATATTTCTTGTTTTGCAGGTTTATCTGAATTTGATCTTATGAAAACAAATACAGACGATATAAATCTTCCACCATATGAAAAAACTATACATTTAGTAACAAAACATGGAATATTAAAAGAATTTTTAACACGTTATGAAACCGATCGTATTAAAATTTATTCAATAACAAATACATTTATTAAACATGAACCACAAAATGCTCGTTATTTATTTGAAATTGATTTAAATAATGTTCTTGCTATATGTAATCAATCAGTTAATTCTATATCATTAAAATCACGTTCAACAAATATTCCAACAATAAATACAAATAGTCAATGTACATTAATTGTTGATGAACAAACATCATTTAATGAATATGTATGGATATTTCCAAATGAACTTGAACGTGCTTTATGGATACGTGAATTATTAAAACGACAATATTCATATCATCAATTAATTTATTCAGATTTTATTTTATTAACTAAATTAAATGTACAAGAAGGTATTAATGCTGAAAAACAACAAGTTATTGCAGTTGTTTATCCTGGAAGATTTGTTATATGTTCAGATACAATATTTGATGAAGTTGATTTAAGAAAATATTGTAGTTTAAGTAAATTTATTAGTTTTAAATTCTTTTTTTATTCTTTTTAATCGATTATATTTTATTTTATTTAGCATATCAAAAAAGTGAAGAATTTACAGGTGTTGTTCTTTGTCTTGTTTCAAATCGTTTTCTTTATTTATCATCACCAATATCAAAATTAACTGATATGTTATATTCATGTCTTCGTGAAGCAACTAAAGTTAAAACATTAACTGATTTAAATTGTCAAATATTAACAACACAAAATGTACCTGTGATTGTTGAAAGATTTATTAATTTTATTTTTGAACATGGTTTAGAAAGTAAAGGTAAATAATTTAAAAAAAAACAAATAATTTTTCACTTTTAGAATTTAAGTGAAAATATTTTAGCAATAGAGTTTTGTATAAATATTTGTTAACAAAAGTTGAATAAGTATGGATCTGAATGAAATAGTTATTAGTGAATATGAAAATATAGATTTGAAAGATAAAGAAGTATGACAAACTTTTTTGTGTCAATTATTTGACATAAGTAAAAAGATGGATGGAAAATGTTTATCTAAGGATAAATTATGATAATTGTCACGGAAAAAGAATTAATTTGAATCATGAAAGAACTAGATGATCATTTTTATAAATAGTTTGAAACGTTTGTATTCTATAAAATCTTTTTAAATATCATTCATTAATTCTGCAATTGAAGGCAACTCATTTGTTGAGCATCTGTAATTATTTATCATATTGAAGATAATTATATCGACACTTGCATAATTTAATACTGACTAAAAATGGCTAATTGAAGAAATAGAATGAATATATATATGAAATTGATTAAGTAGAAAAGTCTGTTTTAATTGAAATTTTACTAGTTGTTAATTCAAATAATCATATGAAAACGAAAGTCAACTTTTATTCATCAATTCTATATCAATAGATTTGTGAGAACTGCTTATTAAAAAAATAAATAGACAAGAAAAATGAAAAATCATAAAGATTGTGATATATTAGAAGATCTTATCTGAAAATCAGTTTTTCTAAACTGCAGTTTATTAAATTATTACAGTATTTATGTTTATATAGCTATATGTAAGTTTAATATCAAAAATATTTTGCTTATGTCACTTTAACCGAATATCAATTCTGATAGTGGTGGTGTGAAATAGTCGATATCGGCGGGTGGAGTCATGACTTGTTTACATAGACAGAATTAATTTTAACAGAAATCCAAAATTAACCCTTTCAGGATGGGATTCTTTTTGTCAAGCAAAACAATGAAACACGGAATTAATTTAAGTGAATTCATTTTTCTTTCTAATCAGTATTATTGATCTTTTCAATGGCTGGTACGGCACATATACATGTTGTCGGTACGAAATCATAGAACAATGTCAAGTAATAAATGATAGTTAGTACGCATCTCTAGAGTTGAACTATTTCAGGACGAAAGATGCATATATGCGTCTCACGCTCCGAAAGGATTAAATGTCAGGTTTATTTGATGAGAATAAAAATTTTCTACAATTAGAAATATGTCATATCTTTTACAGCTCGTCATTTACGTCAGCACGTAATCTTGACATGAAAAAATCATAAAAAGCGGGGCTAATAGAAAAGAATTGTTTATTGTAACGTGTATTTCTCTATTGAAAATATATCATGAAGCGCCGTTTCAATGTTCTTTTGTATTAAAATTTGAAGAGATTCTTTAGATTTTTCTAGATAAAAAAAGAACATTTTCATAATCTTACAGTCTAATTAACTAAGTATATATTCTCATACGGCTGACGTATGAAGATGTCTCTCTGAAATACGAGCATATTCAGTAAAATCATGCTGTGTATTAATTCAAAAATACCTCTTTAGCTTTGTATTTCTATAAAGTCAAAAGCTCGTTTTAATTAAAAAAAGAACATCTCATTCATAATTGAAAAAAACATATGTTTTTGACCGATAATGTTTAGATGTGTTCTATGAAATACTTCTTCGAAACTTGAGAATGCATTTCTTGTCATTAATAAAAGAAAAAACGATGCTAAGATATATTTTCAAATAAAAACAAATAATTGTCCTAGTAATATAGTTCAATGTAAATGAATTCTCTCTCTCTCTATAGTTATTAAAATTTTGAAGTAAATGATTGATTTCATATATTCTATCAATTTTATTTTCTATAGGCATTTATCGTCAAGCTGGACAAGAAACAAAAATAAAACAATTATTAAATGAATTTCTTGAGGATCCATTTAATAATTTATTAACACGTGAAAATTATACTGAACATGATGTAGCTAATGGTTTAAAACGTTTTTTACGTCAATTAGAAATTCCATTATTAGGTAAACGTCAAAATTATGATGCATGGTTACGTTCAACAGTTGATTCAAATATAACAACTGAACAAATTATTCAATATTATCGTGGTTTACTTGTTGATTTAAAACATAATTATCCAATTCATTATGCAACATTAAGAAAAATGTTATTACATATTCAAACTGTTTCAATGTTATCAAATCGAAATGGAATGACTTTATCAAATCTTGTTTCAACATTTGCACCATGTATTATATCTCAAGCACCTCCACCACCGCCACCACCTTTTTCAAGTACACATACAAATGAACCACGTGAACGTCGTGGATTATCATTAGATGATATTGATATGAAATATTCAAAAATTCAAGAAGATAATATTTCATTATGTGATGATGAAACACAAGATTCAATTGGTATTTTAATTAATACTTCAACACCAGCAAAAGTTAAACGAAATCAATCACTTCAATGTAAGAATTTAATTTTAGTTATAAATATTTTTTTTTTGTTTTTCTTCATGAGATCATAAGTTTGTATTATTCTAGTTACATAAATGAACGTGAAATTTCGTTCGTTTTTTTTTTTTTTATCATATCATTTTAAACATATAATATTTAAAAAATACTGAAAATAATAGAATGAAGAATTAAGATATGTTACAAAAGTTTTGAAACGATTCTAAAATTTATTATTCTTGTAATACGAAAAAAAAAAGTAAATTTTTTTTGAACTTTGACAGATTATTTTACCTTGTCAACTTATTTTTAGATATTTATTTAAAAAAATACCAATTCGAAAGGAAATTCTACCTGCAATTTTGCCCATATATAGATCTAATAATTCTTAGAATATCTTGAAAGTTTTAGCCACAAAAAAACATAATTCTTTACAAAGATATTGAATTTCCAAAGATTATTCATTTTCCACAGGCAAGCCACAAAAGTTGAGGTTATTTGGAAACTGAACATCGTGACAAATACGAATTCTTTCCGATTGAAACTTTCAGATATTAGATCTATCTATGGACAAAATTTCAGTAAAATTAACATAATATAGTTTCAACGGCTCATAGTGACAACTCTTTAAGGACATCTTTTTTTAGCTTTGCAGAGACAATTTTATGCGCGCAATATAAACTCAAAGGACGAGTCATATTTCGGATAGTTTCCTTGTTAATAGTCGATAACTTTTATTAAAGATAAAAAATTATAAGAATACTACCATGTACTATTAAATTGATTTTCCAATGATTATAAGCTAATATTTTTAAACTAAATGTACTTTTCGAAATCAAAAAAGTAAGTCAATATCAATTGTATCAATATTCTTGTATTTGATTGTTTTTTTCGATCTAATACTTATTTTAATCATACCGATATTTATCTATCATTCGTTAATATAAAGACATATATTTAAATTAGTTCTATTTTGTATTAATATCATTTTTCAATTTTCTAATGATATTTTATACTCGTTCTCATATTTTTGTTTTTGTTTTAATATACTTTAAATGTATTCTATAGGGCAAACATTGCCTAATGATGTAGCAAGATTTTCTAATTGATTTATTTATGACAAAATTCAAAAAGCTATGCTCATCCTTTATTTAGAATGTTGACCATCTTGAAAAGTTACATTTCCTGAATTATCTAATTTTTTAACTATGATATTTTTCCTAGTGCTAACTCATATATCTTCGATCGATGCACACACAGAAATGAAAATATATTTGAAACTAAAACAATTTTTTTTTCTATTTTGCATGTATTTCAGAAAACAACTCTAAGATTAATATTTACTCAAACATTTTTTTTATCGAAACTCAAATGTTTGGAAAATATTTATTAAGCTTAATATTCACCAATTTATAGAATCAATGTTAATCTTTAAAATATTGACTTTTTATTATGTATTTTATAGAGAGTAAATTTCTGATAGATAAATTTATTTAAATAATTTCTAATAATGATTTTTTTTTTTTGTTTTGAATTTTCATCCTTCTATTATTTCAGTATCACCACCATCACGTTTTTCATTATCATCATCTTATGCTCGTGTAACTCCATCAATACAAGCTGATCTTGAAATAATGAATAATCTTTGTCAATACTATTGTGAATTATTTGATGTAACTAATGATGAAATTGAACATGAAAAAAAATGTGTTGAAACATTAATATCATTACGAACAAATCAATGTCAACCACGTAAATTAGATGGTACAATGGTTTCAGTTTATTTTGAATCACGTGCTGATGAATTAAATGGTTATGCAATAAATATTTTAGAACAAGAAACAACAGCTAATCATGTTATTGATAAATTATTAAAACAAATACATAAACATGATTGTTTTTTTTGGGCTTTATTTGAAGTTATTATTGATCAAAATCTTGAACGACCAATGTATTCAACAGAAAATATATCTAATGTATTAAATCGTTATCGAACATATTTACCATCAGAATTAAATCGACAAGCAACATTTGTTGTTAAACTTAATTATGTACAATTTGAAAAAGAACGTTTACAACAACAACAACAACAACAACAGGATTTATCATCTATTGAATGTGAATATTTTGATTTAATAACTAAACGTTGGATACCATGTTTATGGATATATGAAAAACAAAATGTAAAAAACAAAAATTTCTTTTATTTTTAGAAAATAAAAAAAAAAGAAATATCTTATTCTTTATTTTTCATATTTTTAGCTTCAAATTCATCGAATATCAAATGATAAATCTATGAAATCAAAATCACGTTTTACAAATTCTTCATCACCAAATAATTTTTCTCGAAAAGAATTAACATTAAAATCAAATATAATATCATCAGAACAACAAACACAAATATATTCATGGCATATTCAAGATTTATATTTTTATATTGGTGCTGATCGTCGTATTGTTAATCCATTTGATATGAATGAATATCGTACATTAACTATATTACATATAGATTCAATAAATGAATTAACATTTGGTAATGCATTTCGTTTTCATGATCGTCATCAAATGTTTGCTTGGTATTTGGAATTAGTAAAAATTAATGGACATGATCAATGGACAAGACAAGCAGCTCATACAATACCTGATGGTGTTAATTATTTACCATTACAAAATTATCATACACCATCAACATCATCAATATCATCAAGAAAAAAATCTGAGCAAATAAAAACAAAATTAATTGCTAAATCAACTCTTGTTGCTTCAAGTTTAGGAAAACAATTACGAAAATAATTTATTTGTGAATATTACGGTGCTATGTTAATAAAAAAAAACGAACAATTTTCTTTGTTACATTCTTTTTATATATATATATAAATCCATGCCGTTGTTATATTGTTGTCTGATTTTTCAATTTTTTCCCATGTTGATATTGATAAATCTTTTTTTTTTTGTTCTCACTCATTTATTCATAAAAAAAACAAAAAAAAAATATTCACCAGAAATCATTTGATAGAAAAGATTCTAGAACAACACAGATAATAATTCTTTTTAGATAAAATTGAAATTTCTTTTAAAACTAATTATTTAATCACAATTTACAATGTAAATAACAAAATTTATTTATTTCCAATTTTAGTATTTCTAGTCAACAACAAAGGTAAATATAACGTCATATGTTGTATGACATTTTATTTAAATAAAAAACGATTATTAAGAGAAAATATTACGAAATCGTTCTTATGATTCGTTGCTTATCGGATGCTTTTTTTTTTTTCTCTTTCTTTGAAAATGACAAGACGAAAATAACCAAAAAAAAAAAAAAAAGGGCCGCATTATACGACCTATTATATAACATACAGTTTTACCCCTGGCTTATCTCTCTTGGTAAGACTTTATCATTTAAAAACATTTTAAATATTTTTTTGATGTTTTCTTTTACTTATTTTTCTATCTATAAATTGCTTATATAATAAATTAATTTTTTTAACAAAACATGAGGTGTCCTAAATATCTCATAAAAAAAAAGATAGTAGGTCATTTTTAGTTATGTAACGAAAGATGAATGAGGTCATAATGTTTTTTCTATAAAAACCAATAAGAAAAAGTGCAGACTTTCAATTAAGATAAATAAAAGAAATGCGTATTTTTTGTGTTTTGTATTATTCTTCGATTTTATTTTTCTATGACAAATAGAAACGAGGTCATTGTGATATTCGAACCATGAACTGAGTTGAGTTACATAAGCATGTCTGGTACACTATAGATTTATGATGTTGTAATCAGTCGGAGAACGACATGGGGAAAAGGACAATTCAATAGAATATTAAAGAGTATGAGAAACAGAGAAAGGAAGAAAAGAAAAAACAAGAGAACTGAAGAACGAGGGATAAACACTGCTCACGTAATCGATTGTTATATGTTGAGGTTGAATAGATATACTCTAAGAACATTTCATGATAAATATAAAATAAAAAGACATTTCATTAACATTATCACTATTTATTCAAATGTTTTTTTATTATAAGTTCGAACAACGATGTTTCCTGTATATAATCATTCGACATTAAGAAAAACTCGGTCTAGACGTCAAAAATTACGATTAAGACGACATCATTCAATCCAATCAGCAAAACCTCGTCAACAAATAACAAAAAATTCATCTTTAACTACTCGATTTCATGAAATATTAAATGATTTAAGACGTTCTTGGTCACGTTTTTCCTCATATACAATCACAGAACTTGAACCTATTTGTCAACAAATAGCTTTACAACAAATGTCATCAACAACATCAACTACAGAATTTTGTCCATTAATTTGTATATTTTGTCAAAATTTAATCTATGAACCAATAACACTTTATTGTGGTCATACATATTGTAATCAATGTATTAACAATGAACAATTATCATCAACTATTAATTGTCCACGATGTCCACATGATATTCAAGGACAAATACAATCATCTATAGTATATGCACGAGAACAATCTTATAAAAAAAATCGTTTTCTTAAAGAATTATTTGAACGTTCAGAAAAATTAAAAATAAAATGTGAAACAATTTTATTATGTCAAAAAGGACAAATGGAATATTCACAAGGAAATTATCAACAAGCCATAGATATTTATTCACAAATACTTGATCAATGTAAACGAAAAACTTTCTTTTCTTGTTTTAATTTATTTTTATTTGAATATTTATAGATAATAATAATGATCATATTGCATTATATAATCGTGCTAAAGCATATTCAACTTTAAAAAATTATGATCAAAGTCTTGCAGATGCAACACGTGTTATTACACTTAAACCTCAATGGATAAAAGTAAGAATTTCATTTTCTTTTTTTGAAGCAAAAATACAAAAAAGAAATTTTTTTTCTTCTTTTATTAGGGTTACTTATGTCAAAGTGAAATACTATTTGAAATGAAACATTATACAGCTGCATTTATGTCATCATTAAAAGCACTTGTAATTGATCCAGAAGATCCAATTGGAAAACAAATAATGGCTCGTGTAATAATCAAAAAAAAAGAAAAAATTTTTTTTTAATTATTTGTTTTCTTTTTCTTTTTAAATCAAAGCATCTTCATGCAGTATTACATAACAATGATAATATAGAAAGTGTAGCAACAATGGAATCAGAATTAGAACAATTTAATCTAGGTCCATCGTCTAATGATAATAATATGGAAACAACAAGTAGTTCGGGTACAAATAAATTTGCTTGTTATATTTGACATAGATAACTAACATTGATACGTTAGATAAATAATCTCATTCTTACAGTTCATAGAAAAAGTGCATGTGACATTTTCTTTTTTGTAAGACGAGATATCTAAGAGCAAAAGAAAAACCTACGGAAACCTTTCAAATAATCTCGAGAGAATAAAAATGTTTAATAAAACAAAAATGTAAATCTATCATGTATTTTTTATGAATGAATAAATAATTGGAAAATATTTCATATATGAATAAGTAAAGTCTATGCTCTCATATGTCATCAGAATAATTTTATCTTTTTTTTTTCTTTCGACAAAACATTTTGATATTGATATATGTCGGCTTTAAATATTATTTTACTTATTAAAAAAAATTACTTTTATAAAAGATCTATCTAATTATTTGATGTAACTTATTGATAAAAGCCTTTAGAAATTTATCGAAACTATTTTTTAATATTATTCATGAATATAAACTATTATTTCTTTTACTTTTAATAATTGTTTTAATTTTTCATAGAATTTGTTATTTAATTTCATGGAGAGGAAATACATGTTGGTTTTCTGAAATATATGATTTAAGCTTGATAGCTGTGAGCTTTAGTGGAAATTTTTTAGAACAGACTATGAACGTGAGAATAACTACTAGGTATTTTGTAATTACAAACTATTATTAATTAACAACTTGTTGTAAAAGATGTTGTAACATCTTTTAATTATTTGAGATAATGTAAAATAATAATTGATAATAACTAGTATTACAAACGTTCTTAACTAAATCATTTACTTTTCAATAAAAATATCACATAATAAAAATTATTATTAGATTTCTAAAAGAAATAATCTCCAGAAAACCAAATTTCTAGTTTTTTTTTTTTCAGTAAGTAGAACATGTCAATACTAATTTTGTTTAGATCACATAGAATAACAAAACAAAAAATTTTCTAGTTTTTCTATAGAAAATAGTAAGAAAAAAAGGCTTTAAGGACTTCCGTTTTATTACTCAATTTCAGGTGAAAAATGTCGTAGAGAAGTCTTATTTTGTAGAAAATTGTTTTCTCTATTATTTTATATGCTATCAAGACAATAATATAATGATGCTTTCGAGGTGCTGAAAAATTAGGGATTTAGTTTTATGGAATTCAAAGATTTGGAAAATTTGACAACTTTACTCAATTCATTATTTTGATTCTTTCTAGCAAATAAACTAGCAGCAAAAAAAATGAAAAATTAACTTTATTGAATGATTTTGATATCCACGGTATATGATTGATTAAAAAGAAAATTAAGCTTATAGTGATGAAAATAAGTGAACCAAAAAATTATTGACAATAGAAATCAAAGACAAAAAAAAAGGATTTAAATCGAATGAATTATAATTCTATTTTATTTGAGTATCAAACAAAATTTTAATAGAATTTTTTTTATTCATATAGAATTGTCATTATCAATTTACTTATTTTTTGCTTAATTAACAAAGTATTTTTTTGTACAATTGAATTTTTCTTTTAGTAACAGATAATACTCCATTAACAATGTGTAAATCAATGCGTAAGTTTATTGTAATCTATTATTTTACTAAATAAACTATTTTCTCTTTTAAATAGAATCATCAAATTCTTGTTTGTGTTTACTATTCGACGGTCAGAAATTACATACAACAGATTTTGACTGTTCTATATGTTGCAAGTAAGATATTTGATTTTTGTTAAATATAATATAGATTTCTTTTTGTTTTAGTTTATTTTGGTCTCCAATAACAACACCATGTGGTCATGTATTTTGTCGTGAATGTATAATTCGTTCTGTTGATAATACTCAAGCACAATGTCCTATATGCAAAAGTTCATTACAACATGTAAGAAACTTTTTACTAAATTTTTGTTTATTTTCAAAAATTATTTTGTTTTTCTAGTTTTTTCCAATGTTACTACAATCACATGTAAATAAAACTGAGGTTATTGCAAAAATAATGGAAACTTATTTTCCAACTGAATATAATGAGCGACAACAATTGTATGAACAAGAAAATATCCGAGGGTAAATTATTTTCTTAATATAAAAGAGTTTTCTTTTTGTTTTTAATTTAAATTAAAAAGAAACAATCTTTCTTTAGCGCTTCCATTCCACGAACATTAATACATGATACAAATAATTCCGAATCGGTTATTTTTGAAATTCCAATATTTGTATGTGTTTTGGCATTCCCTAATTGTGTATGTCCATTACATGTATTTGAACCACGTTATCGTTTAATGATGAGACGCACAATTGAAACTGAATCACGTACATTTGGAATGTGTACATATGATGAACAAACAGGGTAAGTGAAAAAAAAATAGGGGAACTTGATTGGAAGAAAAAAAATATATATTTGTAATAGAACATTTGCTGATTATGGTACGTTATTATATATTCGTGGTCTTGTCTATACACAAGATGGTCGTTCAATAGTTGATACAATTGGACAACGACGTTTTCGTGTTATTGAACGTGGAATGAGAGATGGATATAATACAGCTAAAGTTGAATGTATACAAGATCATCCAATAGACCAACATGAGTT